TCTGTGATAACCCATAGTCTGATATAAAAAAGTCTATACTATTAAATCTTTCTTCCTAAAGGAATTGGTAAAAACAATCATTAAGTAAAAATACACTCCAATTACTTATCACTTAGCATTCCAGACACTTACCTTTACCTATTATCACTTCTATCTTCTTTCTAAATTGAATTTCAGATTGTTCCTTAACCGTTTTCCATCTAAATTAAATAAAAATATGAGATAGTCACATAAAAGGGATAACATCCACTACCTAAAACCTGAACTTTTTAATACATCAGTTCAATTCAATTTTTATAAATCACACTTTGAAACATAAGAAATATTTATGTACAATTTTTAGTATTTTTTTCTTTCCCACAGAGACACTAATCTTCATCTCCAAATTTCTGAATGCTCTCAACTATAGCCTCAGGCGATAAAAGGAAACTTCTGTAAGAGATCAGAAAGATTCTGAAAAAATATTTCAGAAACTCAAAATACATTGATGTCAACATAAAAAAATTGAGTCAAAAAAGAAGATCAACTATTTCTACATTCACAATGTATATCAATTTTGTTCTCCTTTTCTACTGTTATTCTCTCAGTCAAATTCACTACTTTCTTGCCATTCCTAAAATGACTAGTGCAATAACTCAATGATTATTATAAATATTCTCTACATATTCAAATCCCCAACCCTCTATACCAGCAGTCCCCAAGCTTTTTGGCACCAGGGACCAGTTTCACGGAAGACAATTTTTCCACGAGGTGGTGTGTGGGGGGAGCTCAGGCAGTCGGCCCACAGCCCGAGGTCGAGGACCGCAGCCCTATGCAACATCTCTCCTTGCTCTCATAAGAAATAACCTTACCTAAACAGATGGTCCCCAACTAATGAATGATTTTTTTGACTTTACTACAGGTTTGTCAGGATATTAAATGCATTTTCTACTTACAACATTCTCAACTTAAAATGAGTTTATCAGGATGTAACCCCACTGTAAGTCAAGAAGCACCTATATTCCTCAAAAGGCAGCTATCATCAAACCTGAGTATCTTCTTCAAATTAGTTACTACACAACATGAATACCAGAGTAAAGCCTGCAACAGGGATCACTCTCTCCTCCGATCCACTTACTAGCTGAGCTACTCAATTAGAACTGAGCATTTTTTTATTATTCTATATAGATATGTCCTGTCCCCCAATTCAACAAATCCTTAAACACAGGTCTTACACCTTTGGAGATCGTTATATACCCAACATTTACTGAGTAATATGTATTCAATAAGCAGCTAATAATCTTTCAGCTTCCAAAGCTTTCTACCAAAAGGTAAACATTAACAGTGTTTCAATATTAACCCACATTATTTTTTTTCATCATCACCCAGAGTTAGTAGTTTTCTTTTCTTTTCTTTTTTTTTTGTAGAGATGGGGAATCTCAATATGTTCCCAGGCTGAACCCCAAGTGATCCTGCCACCTTGGCATCCAAAGTGCTGGCATCATAGGTATAAGCCACCATGCCTGGCCCCCCAGAGTTTTCTATCTATACACCTTTGTTTCTACCATTTAGCCTGTCCACTCTCACTTCTTTCTACTCACATGCTACAAATAATTCAAGACCAAGTTCATGTGTCAAGCATATAGCCCTCTTAAACCAATCTCACACTAGTCTGAATTTATAACCTTTATTATCTACACTAGCATTTCCAAAAATGTATTCCAAGAAATATTAGCATGCTTAGATTGTTAACAAATGGTCCAGAACACTTGTGAATACTGTACACTGTATCTCACTCTTTCAAAGTCGCAATGTATATTATTATTTTAAAGCCTCTGAGAAGTCCTATAGTAAGGACCCCAAAATAATTTAAACTAGCCATTCTGAAACTTCCATGATCATGGAACATTCATTTCAGTGAAAACCAGTTAACATTTTGAAGCACATTAGTATTCTCAGAAGTACAATTTGGATATTTTGGTTTCTGGTTTTTGTTTATTTGGCAATTAACTATACTTTTTGATTCCTTTTATGTTATTATTAAGCTTACAAGTGTTTATGTCTATGTGTCTCCCAAAACTAGACTGGAAGTTGCTTGGTAGCAGAAATTATTTCTAGTTCTTTCTTTTCTTCCCTACAGTGTCTGGTAAAATGTAGATGTGAAAACAATATTTAATTTATTCCACACAGTCACAAACTAGACGTAAGTCTCCTTTTCCTAATGCAAAATATAGTGCTGATGGTATTTTGAACATTAAAAGAACTACAGTGAATCAAAACTCAAACCAAGACTTCAATTAACAATCTTTCTGAATAACAGAATATTTCACTAAAGCAAACAATCCCTAACTCAGAAATCTTTAACTGATGACTTAAACATACATGTATGTAATGGAGCCAGTTATGGGATAAATTACGTTCCCCCAAAAAATTCATATGTTAAAGCCCTAACCCCTAGTACCTCAGAAAATGACAGTATTGGCAATAGGGCCTTTAGAGGTAAAAAAAAAAAAAAAGGTTAAAGGAGGTCATATGTGTAAGCTTTAATCCAATCTGTCATCTTTAAAAGAAGAAACCTGGACACATATAGAGACAAAGATGCACGTGCACAGAGGAAAGACCATGTGAGGTCACAGTGAGAAAGTGGCCATCTGCAAGCAAAGGGGGGAAGTCTCAGAAGAAATCAAACCTACCAACACCTTGATCTGGGATTTCTAGCCTCTGGAATTATCAGAAAATAAATTCCTATTGCTTAAACCACCTGTGGTATTTTGTTATGGCAGCCTATGCAAACTAAATCCCCTACCCTCTCCAACACACACACGTGCATATACACACACAAAAGTACCTTTTCTGATAGCATAAGTTACTGATCAGCAAAAATGTATGTTCAGAAAAACAGTGATTAAAACAATAAAAAAAAAACCTGAAATGATATGAGAATTAGCTGAAGAAAATGGGGAGGAGGACTGACGAGAGGGAAAGATCATTTGTGTAAGAGTGAAGAAAAATGGACTAAACAATGGTTAAAAGTAGAGGAAAATTGACTTCAGCTCAAAATAAGAACCTTTAATAATTAGATTTATACAAATGTTAAATGGGGTACTCAATGGAAGTGCTTCCCACCACTGGGGATAAAAAAGCACAGTCCAGACAATCCACTCAGCAAGAATGTTGTAGCACAAACTAAATGTCAGCTAGGAAGTAAGACTAGAAGTCTCTTAGATTTTTCCAGTGCTATGTCTCTGAGGCTCTAAAATATTTTCTGCTCCGATCCACTGCCGCAACTGCTCACTAGCAGTGCCAAAGGGAGAAAGAAGAATAAAAAGATGTGTTCCTGTCATCAAAATACATGTCCTGTGGAAACAAGGCCATAGAGAGTAAATACAGTTCACAAAATCAGTACTATGCCACAGATAAATATAATTTTTGTGAATCTCTGTCAGTCAATATTGTATCTATGGTAAAATATGTTCTACATTCCAAATTAACTCAAAGCAAATTTTGAAAACATCTGGTTCATGAGAGAATCCACCTGTATTCCCTTATGTGCTTCAAGCATGTTAGCTTTTGTTTCCCTAAAATGTAAGCTCCTTGTGGACAGAGAGTACTGTTTATATTTTTATATGCTCCCACAGATCTTTAGCGTGCTGCTTGGTTAACAATTCTGCTTCACCAACAGATTAAGCTTGGTAGATTGTCATGAAACTTTGTAATTAACTACAGACAGAGTATTCAGTGAGTTAGGGCACAAACTGGCTCCCTGCGTAATCTCAGGCCAGTCATTTAACCTCTCCAAACCTGTTTTTCTATTGCCTGCAAAATGGTTAAAGTGAGGATTACGGAAAATATTCCCTGTAAAAGTGCCTGGCACACAGTAGGTGCTCAGTAAATGTTTAGTACAATCCTCAGCACGTGCTAAGTGCCATGTGATTATTAAATAAGTTCTGTCCCTTATTACAACCATTTTATGCAAAAAACACTGCCAGATATGGGGGAGGGGGGCATGGGCAATATAAGTAACCTTAATAGTTGTACCCGCATAATACACTAAAATAAAAATAAATAAATAAAAATAAAAATAAAATATAATTGAACAGCCAGAAAAAATAAATAAATAAATAAAAGAGTTGATTTCTGTTAAATAAGTAGTACAAGTCCTCCTTTTCCTATCAAAATATTAAAATGACAAATGTGATATGCAAATTATATACCTGAAACTATGATGATGAAATAAGAAATTTGGCTCTGGGACAGAAATCTGCTTCTTCTAGAACTCTCCAAAGGAATTCAACAATCAAAAGGGACCGGTGATTATTCTGCAGCAAAACAATGGTATTCTGAACTTACGTCAATTAATTGATCACATCATACAGCCCAATCTTTCTCTGAGAGCCTGTTCTATTTCTCTCCTACACATTCTGAAGGCAAGGAATACATCTAAGCTTGTCCCAGCCTAGAACCTGAAACTTCTTACTAGGCCCCGCTCCTCACCCCATGGGAGCACAATAAATCCTCATTGCACGGGCTAAAAGAGGTAATGAGGCAGACCAGAAATGTCCTTCAGGAAGGTATTCGAGGGGCTCCAAGGTATCCCTCGCGCACCTGGATACCTCTGGCGGTCCACTCAGGAGCCACACAAGGAACCGCCCTATCCAACTTAAGTGACAGACACGCCGCCACCTCATCATCGCCCAGTTCACGCTCTCGATGAACACTTAACCCCGCTTGCCGGGCCCCAAACGAACAGCCCCCGCCCCCGATCCTTTCTCTCTCTAAGTACTATTTCAACTCCCTTTAGGCTCCAACTTCTGCAAAAGCGACAGAGACCCGAACTCACCTGGAACTGATGCTGCTCTTCTACAAACGCCAAATCTGGAGAGCGCATGCGTACTGCCCAGGCAGCACTCACGTGACTGGAAGTGACTGGGTTGTGTTTTTTTTTTTTGCTTCGCTCGGTGTTTGATTAAAAGGTCTTTGACGTGTGTTAAGGCCGGGATTCCCCCTCCTTTGCGCATGTGCGTGCTCTGGGCCTGCTGGGAGTTGTATTTCTGCGGGTGAAGCGCTGAGGTACTGTATGGAAACGAAGCTACAAGTTCTGGGAGTTGTTCTCCGTCCCAGCCCTCCTCTCCCCGGCCCGAGCGGGGAGGCTGGCCCAGCGGCCGGCTCTCAGAACCACTACCTGCGATGCTGCTGCTGTGGGTGTCGGTGGTCGCAGCCTCGGCGCTGGCGGCCCCGGCCCCCAGGAAAGGTGGACAGAGGCGGGGAGCAGCCGGGGCGCCCAATGTGGTGCTAGTCGTGAGCGACTCCTTCGTAAGTACACAGTGGGGCAAGGAAGGGGACGCCCCGCTCCCAGCCCGCAACCGCTCCACTGCCTCCTGTGCAGCAGGCCTTGGGGAGCAGAATCTGAGACATTTTCAAACATGTTTTACCCTGGTGCAAAGTAAGAAATACATTTTATTGTGAAACCCCATATACACACATGCACACCACATGCATATACATACATACATATATATAAACATATATATATATAGCAGTACTTTAGTAAGTGAAACGCACTCTGAAGCCTCTTTGTAAATCTTTGTTGTTTTAAATACTGATCTCGATTCATTAAATTATCTTACCACTACTAATGAACTTTCGGTTCATACCCCGTTTTGATTCAGTTGTGGGATAAAGTAACATTCTTCATCTCCATAAAAACGTGTCCAAGAGTCATTTTTCCAGTTCACTTCAAGTTTCCAGGGATTAACGTTTGGGTGAGAAGTGAAGAAAGTTTATTTTTACTACCAAGGTATCTAGTAATAATGTTAGTGCTGATTTAAATGCCTTTGTTGATATAATTTGATCCATTCCTCCGTATTCCAGAGAAATTGTGCGCATAGGTGTGTTGGTTATGTTGAATCCCAAACGTGAACAGCTTTTTGGAACTATTTTTAATCATTATGTTGCATTGCCTTTCTCATAGATTAACCTGTAATGATTAAAGTTACGTAGTCTGGATATGCACATAGTATTTGTTGAAAATATTAAAGTAATCTTTAAACTTAGGTGATGGGCAGTATTGCAAATGAACATGAAAGAGGTTTATTAGGGAGTAGTGTTGAAATCAAAAGAAAATGAAGGAATCAAGATTGTGCAGAAGAGATGTTGCGTTTTGTGGCTGTCTTACGGGTATTTCTCAAACTACTGGGTGTCCCAAAAGTCTCCATACAAAGGAAAAATTTTGTAATGAATATTTTGTAAATAAAGGTACATTTAGCTACAATTTCCCAGTTTTTCCTTTGTATGATGACTTTTGGGACGCCCTGTAGTATGCTGCTTCAGAGCTGTGTTCCAGTTCCGGTGAGGGGAACAGACCTTTGTACCCTTGTGTTGGATGGCCATTAGTTGTGGGCTGCCCCCAGAATAGGGCCTCTATTGTTGGGCAAGGCAGCTCTCTTTAGCAGAAGCAATTGTTCATCCGTGAAAGGGAATCTGGGTGGTACATCACAACATCCTAGACCTAGAAACTTCTAAAGGTGACTGAGATATTTAGGTTGGTTTGTTTTTTAATATGGTATGAATGCATAGATTTTTATATATTTGTGCTTAAATTCTTTGTACTCACTGTACTTATTAATCTTCAAACTGTCCCATCTTTGGCCAATGGAAGCCCCTTCAGGTTGTTTGGTGTCCTTTTGACCCACCTCCAGTAGTATTTGAGAGCTTGCTTTGGCACAGTTCCATGTTCACCTTACACATTTCTTGTCCTACCTTGTGTTAGAGATCACAATCTGGGTGTTAGAGTTTTCATTGCTTCTAGACCTTTTAGTGGAGAGTTAAGGTACATATATATATTTTTTATTTCAGCATATTATGGGGGTACAAATGTTAAGGTTATGTATATTGCCCATGTCCCCCCTCCTCCCTTGAGTCAGAGATTCAAGCATGACCATCCCCCAAATGTTGCACATCTCACTCACTATGTTTGTATATACCCATCCTCTCCACCCCCCTCCCACCTGTCCAACACCCAATAAATGTTATTCTTATATGTCCACTTAGTTGTTGATCCGTTGATACCAATTTGCTGGTGAGTACATGTGGGTGTTCGTTGTTTGGGTGGTCCGATGCCGTGGGGGAGATACCTTCCAACTTAGTGGAATGCGTTCAAGCCGTATCACGAAGGAAAATACAAGAGGTGCTGTATCACAGTCTGTGGTTCTTAAAGGTGAAAGTATCTCATGGCTATAACATATACCCGACTTTTATTAATCCACCATGTAATTGATGGGCACTTGTGGATGTTTCCCAACAGTCATTCCGAATTGATGAATAGTGCTTAGCTATGAAACATTCGAGTGCAGGTTCTTTTTTATGGTAGAGGGTGGTATTTGAACCTTTTTGGGTAGATTAAAATAAATTATTTTTTTTTGGGGTGCCCAGTAGTTGGGAAAGTTGCTGGATCAAATGGTAGAGTCTACATGTATTCTTAAGGTATGCTCCATATTGCTTTTCCAAGCAGTGAACTAGTTTTGCAGTCCCACCTATGTGCAGTGTTAGGAGTGTTCTATTCTCTCTGGCATCCACACTAGAACATTTTTACATTGTTTGGTGATTTTTTGATAAGGTCATCTTACTGAGATATAGTTGATGAACTCTATTTGCAAGTTATTGATTTGCACTTCCCTGAATGATTGATGAGATGATTGAGCATTTTTTTTCATAAAGTTTGTTGCCATTTATTCTGTCTTCTTTTGAAAAATCTCTGTTCATTGTCCTTTTTGCCCACTTTTGAGGTAGGGTTTGATTGTTCTTTGCTGAGGGGGTGGTGTTCCCTGAAGTGTCTAAGGAATAGGGATTTAGTTATCGAGTTCCCTTTATCGGTAATGTGTACATTGCGAAATTTTTCTCCATATCTGGGTTGTCTCTTTGCTCCAATGTCGATTTTTGGACTGTGCAGGAAGCTTTTTAATTTGATCAGTGGTCCATTTATTTATTTTTGTTTGCCTTGCTGTTGATGCCTTTAGGGTCATTCTTTCCATAAATTTCCTTTTGCCTAAGTCTAATTGTCTTAAGTATGTTGAGTTCCAACGTTTCACTCTATATATTCTAATATTCTTCACACCTTATTCGATGTCTAATTACCGCAGCATTGAGTTGATTTTGTGAAGGGGGTGAATAAGTGGGTCCTGTTTCGAGTCTTCTACATGTGGCATCCAGTTTCCCCAGCACCATTTATTGAATAAGGATTCTTTTCCCCAGTGTATGTTTTTTGTCTGCTTTGTCGAAGGATTATTGGCAATAGATGTGTTTATATCTGTTTTCTCTGTTCTGTTCCCACTGATCAAGCTGTGCCCTGTTTCTTTTGTTGCCAGTCCCCCAAGCTATTTTAAAATTACTATAGCCTTGTAGTTAGAGTTTGAAGAATGGGTAAATTGATACTTACGGTATTTATGTTTTATTGTCTTAGTTAGGAATGATTTTGCTATAACGAGGGTCTTTTCTGGTTCTATCACAAAGCATAAAATTTATTTTTTTTCTATATCTTGTGAAAATGATGGCGGATATTGTTGAGGGATTGCAGTGACCTGTAGGTCAGCTTTGTTTTAGTATATGATCCAATTTGTTTAACAATGTTTGATTTTCTGTCCAGTGAGTTTGGTATAATTTTTTACAACTGCTTTACATCCGTCGGTTGCTATTTTCCTTTCTTTCAGTGTTTCATATGTCAGCCGTTAGAAGTCTTTTACCGCCTTAGTTATTCAGGTTAAGTTCCCTAGGTAGCTTTTATTTCTTTGTTGCTATTTTGAGGGATTTGAGTTGATTTGTTCTCGAACTTTAGTGGTCGTTGGATATATATAGGAATGCTCTGATGTTCGTGTATGTTTAATTTTGGTATCCTGAGACTTTTACCAAAATCATTTTTATCAATCAAGGAGTTTTTGTGGTTGAGTCTTGGGGGTTTGTCTAGTATAATATCCATGTTCGTCAGCAAAGATAAGAGTTTGATCTCATGTCTGCTCCATTTGGATGCTCTTAGATTCCACTCTCTTAGTCATGATTGCTGTATGCATCCAGCTCTCCAGCATATGATTAATAAGAAGGTGGAGAGATAGTGGGCAACCTTGTCTTGTTCCAGGTTCTAAATGGGAATGCTTTTCCAATTTTCCCCATTTTCAGTTATGATATTACTTGGCTGTTGGGTTGTGTCATATATGGCTTGTATCATTTTTAGGTAAAGCCGTCACTACATGCCTATTTTTGTTAGCTGTATCTTATCATAAAAGGTGTGTTGAATTTTGTCAAATGCTTTTTCTGCATCTATTAGAGGATCATATGATCTTTGTTTTGCCTTCTGTTAAGCTGGTCGAATTACATTTATAAGATTTGCATTATGTTGAACCAATCCCTTTTGGTTCATCCTTCGGGATGAAGCCCACTTTGGTGGTGATGGATGGTGATGCTTTTTGATCAAGCATTCTAGGATTTCGATTGGACTAGATATTGGTGAGAAATTTTGCATCTTATATTCATAGGGATATTTTGGTCTGTAGTTTCTTTTTTTGTTGCATCCTTTCCTGGTTTTGGTATCGGGTTTATGTTTGCTTCATAAAATGTGTTGGGGAGGATTCCATCCTTCTCGATGTTGTGGAATAATTTCTGCAGGATAGGCACTAGTTCTTCTTTGTAGGTGTGGTATAAAATTCAGGTGTGAAACCATCTGGTCCAGAACTTTTCTTTTTAGGACGGTTTTTTTATTGCTGTTTCAGTTTCAGTACTTGATATTGGTCTGTTCAGGAATTCTATTTCTTCCTGGTTGAGCCTAGGGAGGCTGTGTGTTTCTAAGAAAGTGTCCATTTCCTCCACATTTTTCCAGTTGTGTCATAGAGATTTTGTAGTATTCATGATTATATCTTGTATCTCTTGGCATCAGTTGTAATTTCCTCCTTTATTGATCCTGATGGAGCTTGTTAGAGATTTTCTTTTTCTGCTTTTCATTAGTCTAGCCAATGGTATGTCAATTTTGTTTATTTTTTCAAAGAACCAACTTTTTGTTTTATTAATCTTTTGTATCATTTCCCTGTTGTCGATTTCATTTAGTTCTGATTTGATCTTAATGATTTCACTTCTTCTGCTGATTTGGGGTTGGTCTGTTCTTCCTTTTCCAGCTCTTTGAGATTCATTAATCGGTCTATTTGTGATCTTTTTGACTTTTGATATAGGCATTTAATGGAAATAAACTTTCCTCTCAGGACTGCTTTAGCTGTGTCCCACAGGTTTTGGTAACTTGTATCACCTTTGTCATTTAGTTCAAAGAATCTTGATTTCCATCTTTATTTCCTCATTTATGAAGCGATCATTCAGCAGAAGGTTGTTTAGTTTCCATGACTTTGTATAGAAATGAGAGTTCCTGTTAGGGTTGATTTCTACATTTATTCCGTTGTGATCTGAAAAGATACATGGTATAATTTCTATTTTTTTACATTGTTTGAGACATGCTTTATGTCCTAGGATATGGTCAATCTTAGAAAATGACCCATGAGCTGATGAGAAGAATGTATATTCAGTGGTTTGGGGGTAGAATGTCCTGTAAATGTCAGGACATTTGTTCTAAAGTTCTGTTTAAGTCCATTATTTCTTTGTTGATTTTCTGTTTGGAGGATCTGTTCTGTGCTGTCAGTGGGGTGTTAAAGTCTCCGACTATTAAGGTATTGTTGTTTATCCATTTGTTTAGATCAAATAGAGTTTACTTTATGAATCTGGGTTCACCTAGGTTTGGTGCATATATATTAGAATTGTTATGTTTCTTGTTGAACTATACCCTTCACCATTATATAGTGACCTTCTTTGTCTTTTATTATTTTTGTTGATTTAAAAACTAAGTTATTTGAAGGTACATATATTTTAGAAAGTGAAAAATAAATTGTGAGATCATACTGATAGTTTCAATTCAAATTTAAGAGTATGAGGTTATTAATTCTTTGAAATTTATACTCATACCTCTTTTTTTGTTTTATACCAAATATTTTGGTTCCTGAAAACATTAATATAATTACTTATTTGCTTTATCCAAACATGTATGTATGTATATATTAGAAAATAAGATAGTAATATTACTACAAATAATGATAGTCCTGAATGCAGCTTTCAGTTTCTTTGCAGTTTTTGTTTTAAAAAGGTATATTCAACTATACAGACAAAATACTGTTCTTTAACTTGACATAATTCTCTCTGTGGTTATTAGTTTGGTATACAGTTAGATTCTTGACAGTATGATTTATCATTTCTGAAACTCCATAAGCTAAGGTAAGGCAGTTGAGCCAATAATAATGTGGTAAAAAAAATAGCACATTGGTTTTACTTTCAATATGGCAACATGAGAGGCTTCACAGACCAACTCCCTAAGAAAACAAGCAAAACTAATGAAAATTATTTTTTGAAAACTATAAATAACTATTTTTAAAAACAAACTATTAAATAATCTTTAAACATCTTAAGTGTCTGGAAATTGTCCTAAGGGCATACACCAAATGAAGAAACATTCATTCAAGAAAATTTACTAAGGCCGGGCGTGGTGGCTCAAGCCTGTAATCCTAGCACTCTGGAAGGCTGAGCGGGAGTATCGCTCAAGGTCAGGAGTTCGAAACCAGCCTGAGCAAGAGCGAGACCCCATCTCTACTATAAATAGAAAAAAATTAATTGGCCAACTAAAAATATATAGAAAAAATTAGCTGGGTATGGTGGCGCATGCTTGTAGTCCCTGCTACTCTGGAGGCTGAGGCAGGAGGATCACTTGAGCCCAGGAGTTTGAGGTTGCTGTGAGCTCAGCTGAAGCCATGGCACTCTAGCCTGGGCAACAGATGAAGACTCTGTCTCAAAAAAAAAAAAAGGAAAATTTACTAAAACTCAGTAAGAACACAAAGAGTCTGTGGCAGTAAACTATGATGGCTCAGCTAGACAAAAGTTTCACTCAGGACAGGTGTGACCAAGAAGACAGGGCTCCCTCTCCCCTCAGCTCCCAATCATAGGTTGTTGTATCTCACCAGAAGGGACAGGCTGCTAGCATTTCTCATCTCCTCCAAATCTGAGCTGAAGATGTTAAATTCCTGGTAAATACAACTGAGAAGTTGAGGGCTCCCTTCCTTTGCTCGGCCCCCATTTATAGAGCAGACACTTTATGCCAGATGCAGAAGGCTGAGAAAACCAGGGCCCCAATAATAACCCTGTCCCAGCTCACTAGTAGAGCAAAGGTTCCATACCAGCAGAAGCCAAGAAGATAAAATAAGCTTCTGCAAAGTAAGCAGAAGGAAGAAAATAATATTGTACATTTTATGGTTAAAGAAGATCATTTTCTTCATTAGTAATGCAGTAAATGTTAATTAAATGTCTTTATTTCAGGATGGAAGGTTAACATTTCATCCAGGAAATCAGGTAGTGAAACTTCCTTTTATCAACTTAATGAAAGCACATGGCACTTCCTTTCTGAATGCCTACACCAACTCTCCAATCTGTTGCCCATCACGTGCAGGTATGAACATCCTTAATATTAATGGAAGAAAGTGACTACACACTGAAAATATATTCACAGTTCAAAAGACTATACCTAAAAGTAGGATAGTAAGTCATATTTAGCCCCTAATAAAAAAAATTTTTTAATATAAGAGATGTGTGTTTTAAGGTGTGTTTTGGGTATTGAGGTTATTAGAATGTCTAATTTATTTTTCAAGAGTAGGAAATTTTATCATTTAGAATGATGTCTAGTTCATGTGTTACTGTTTCATTTCCTTATGATTGGTGACTAGGAATCTTTTGATTATCCAAGCACATGGGGAAATACTCATAGTTCCTAAAAGAGTTTTGTTTCCAGGGAAATTTTTCCATAAGGCTATAGCTAATTAGGAGGACTTATATGAATATTAAAGTATACCACAAAGTAGTTAGAACATCTTATATTCAGGTTTTTCTGAATATTTCTGTATTATTTCAGATTGCATATGTTATCTCTTTCTCTTCAGTCTCAATTCACTTCTATCCCAAATCTAGTTGTTCACTTTTATTATATTAATTATAATAATTTGACAAATAGGCATAGTTTAAATGACAAAACATCAGTGACATTAAGATATGAATAATTTAAAAAATAGGAAAATATTGCCATTTTTATAAATTCTGTCTGTTGTCTTGCAGTTTGTCTTCCTTTTCCTCTGTCCTTCTGGTTTATGTTTGTTTGCCTTGCAACCCATAAATAGCACTCAACAATTTGGTTTGTCTGTAAGGTACTGAGATGATATTCTCTGTGATTTGAGTTATAAGTCCTTTTATCTACATTTTCAGCACTATCAGCTATTTATTAATAATTACCAAAGATTAAAGGAAACCTAAACTATATTATAAATGATATTTCAATAATGAAGGACCAGATGTATTAAAAAACAGTTTTGTTAACTGTATAGTGGAATGAGCAGTAGGCTAGGGTAAGATGATGACCTGGATTCTAATCCTCAATGAATCATGTCTATAAATTGTTGTATATGCTGTGTACCTCACAGGGTTGTTTTGAACATCAAATGAAATAATGAATGAGAAAGTGATCAGTGAACTTTAACAGTCTCAAAAATGTTAGATTATGTTTTTTGTAAAAGAGGTATATTTTGAAGAGTTTGAACAAAGAGAAAAAATAGTAATAAAAACTAACATTTATTGCATTCTTTGTGCCTGCCAATATTTGAAGTGCCTCTTGTATTAATTTATATAATTCTCGTAATATTTCCATAAGGTAGATATTCTTATTATCCCCATTTTGCATGAAAACTAAGGTACAGAAAGGTCAAATAACTTATCAAAAGCCACTCAGTAACTAGAGTTATTGAGATTCAAATCCAAGGGATCCCACATGTCACCTCTCAGAAAGCATTTTGTTAGATGAGAACAGAAAGTTTATTTATTCCAGCCTACTAGGTGTATACACAGAAATGGGAAAAGGAAAATAAGTATTTATTGAATAAACAATTATAGTTGTAGAAAATGAGACAGAAGACATAGTACACTTAAATTTTCTGTGAAAAACCAGCAAAAGGACAAGGACTAAGAAATGTCTTTGAAGACTTTGGGAAAATAAGATCTATACTTTAATTGACTGATTTAGAAAATTAATCAACAAGTACTTAGAGATTATTTTTATGATTGAAAGAAGACTCTAGAGTCTTATATAATATTTAATTCTAGCTGTGGTATTGACCTTAAGTAACTTAACCTGTAAGCCTTAGTCACCTCATCTGTAAATGGAAATAGTAACTCCTTGCAGGGTTCTCCCCTTGATAAAATGAGGTAACAATCAGAAGTGTTAGATAAATCACCAAGTGGTAGGTATGTCTTATTTTAGAGCATGAGCTATAAGCTAGTGGACTGCTCTCTCAGAATAATTGTCTTAAGAGTTAAAACAAATCTATTAATCTTTACTTTAAGCCCAATTTATTTTTTTCTTTGCTCCAGCAATGTGGAGTGGCCTCTTTACTCACTTGACAGAATCTTGGAATAACTTTAAGGGTCTAGATCCAAATTATACAACCTGGATGGATGTCATGGAGACACATGGCTACCGAACACAAAAATTTGGAAAACTGGACTATACTTCAGGACATCATTCCATTAGGTAAAAATTAAAACAATAATAATCCTAATAGACTGCCCTCTACTATAGCATATACAAGAATTCATTTTTGACTTTTATTTTTTTATTTCTCCACAAAGATGAAAGTAAACCCCTTAATCCTTTGATTGTGTTAATTAAGCTAAAACTTTATCTTTCTTCAATATTCTTAAAATATAAAAATGTCAAATATGCTGTTAATTTTCTTTTTCTTAAACCTTAAAGATCTATAAATGGTATTTATAATATTATTTAACTCATGTTTTATTTTGATTGAGTTTCCATTATATAATCTCTCTATATAAATGCATAGCCTTCTTGCTAGTAGCCTTTATCAGTTTTTTCCAGCTTGAGTCTATTGTAACTTTTTTGTTCTTTCATTCTACATAGCTTCACAAACCAGGCAGCCAAGCATAGTGGTTAAGAATAGAAGTCAAGAATCAGATTGCCTACTTTTCAATTCTAGTTTCTATTTGCTACTAACCTTGTAGTAGTGTAATGTTAGACACCTTATCTAAACTAACTGAATTTTAATTTCTTTGTTATGAGAATTAAGTGAAACAATACGTGCAGGAAAAAGCTAACATGGCAGACCTGAGACTACTATCCTTAAAGGCCTGCTTGCAAGGTTGGCCCATGCCTGGCATCCTGGAACCTGGATTTCAGGAATATTCCCCCTATTCCTTAACTGATACGAGTGACTTACTGTGTACCTAGAGCATTTGTACAATGTGATTTATGCCAAACACCTGCTATCCTGGAAGTCCGGAATTTTGGCATGTACTAAGCAGAGGGTGCCTACCTAATCTTGGGCACTGAGTCTCTAGTGAGTAGAAACAGCATTTCACATGTGTCGTCATAATTTGATGCTGGAAGAATTAAGGATGTCCTTTGTGACTCCCCTTGGAAGTGTGGGCCTGGTTTCCTCTGGAGTTTACCCTAAACAGCTTTTCCCTTTGCTGGTTTTGCTGTGTATCCTCATATATAATAAATCATAGCCATGAATACAACTACATTCTGAGTCCTGCAATTCCTCCTAGCACACTTGGGTGTGATCTTTCGGTCCTCCAACACTTGTGACCCGCCCCCTCCCCCAACACAAATACATATTAAGACATTAGAGCAGTACCTCTTTCTTGCCAGCAAGTGCTAATTCAGGGTTATTGGTAAAAGTTGTAGTGATGATGATGATGATACTAATGATGATGATAAGAACAAGAAAAAAATGTTAACAAAAATAACAATGAGTGTAGTAAGTTGAATAGTGTTTCATGTCTAGAACTTCAGAATCTGACATTATTTGGAAGTAGATCCTATTTACAGATGTAATTAGTTAAGGATCTTGAGATGAAATCATCCTGGATTTAGGGTGAGCCCTAAATCCAATGATTGCTATCCTTATTAAAAGAAGAAAAAGGACATAGACACACAGAGAAGAGGACAGTGTGAAGACAGAGGCAGAGATTATAGTGATACAGCTATAAGCCATGATTTTCATCATATTTACAAAGAAATCCATAAATAAAAAATTAAGTACCAGCTACTGTAATTTCATCAAAAAAGAAAATGATTAGAATAAAATTAAACAATGGAAAACCACACATTAATAAAATTAAGCAATGGGAAAATGTATATTTAATGTAAATATGCATTTAATGCATATTTTGAGCATTTAAAGGCTATACATTGAAAATTGATGTTCTGATCTGCATTTGCCAGACTTGGCATGATTCATTCAATTAAAACAGACTGTTTTTGTGAGTGATCATATGTAAGGAAGATGGAGGACAGCCTTGTAAATCCTTTAAAAAAATGGTATCTGTGTTTCTTACAACTTTGAAAGAGAAGCATTTAATGGGTATGGATTCCTTTTTCTCTTACAGAATTTATTAGGCTGATACAGAAATTTGCAAGGGCATTTTTTAAAATTGTCATTTTTCCTTGCAAGAGACTTATTGGAAACACATTAGCTGCTACGATCCCATCAATAACAAGGAGAGAGGGAGATGAGGGGGATCTCCACAGAACTCTTAAGTCTGAGATAGTTGTCTACAGTATAATCTTGGGAAGCTAAAGAATCTTGGGAATCTTGGGAAGCTTAAGTCTACATTCCTAATTAATGTTGAAAAAAACTGTCATGTTCATCATTGATTTTAATGTGTGATATTTTTTCAGATGTGATTAGTACTGTGTAAACTAATTCTGTGCTACCTATAAACTGATTTATCCAATGTTTTAGCAGAATTTGGCTCACAGGCACAGAAAACCCACACAGCAATGGCAAATGTACAAATTTATGCAATAATTAGTTGGTAATGTGTTAAGTAGTTTTATATTTCATTTGTATTAGTGAGGACTTTTTTTGTTGTTAAAAAGAACTAATTAAACTGCTGATTTGGGGGTAGTATATTTGTCTATCCTCTTGTTTTCTGGAATTGAACCAAAGTAGAATAATTCTCCTATTCATAGGCTATTATGGAAACTGCATTTTCATTATCCTGTCTAAAAATTGAGAATATTTGCAGAAAAAAATTCTCACACTGTTATGTAGAGCAGTAAATCTCAAACTTTAACATGCATAAAATCACTTGGGCATCTTGTTAAATGCCTGTTCTATTTCAGTGAATCTCAGGATAGGGCCTGAGATTCTGCATTTATAACAAAACTCTCAGGTGCTGCTGATACTGCTGGTCCATGAAACACACTTGGAGTGGCAAGTATATAAAGAACAAGACCTCAGGTAGAAGGTAGGATAAGGTGTAACCAATTATGAATGTCTTTACCAGAAATAAGTGGTTATTATTTGTGTCCCTTTGAGAAGAAAAGCCCTTCTTATATTTCTATTAGTATAATGAGTTGAAGTACACATTGGGTTACTTAGGAGAGGCATGACAAAATGACACATTGAAGGCTTTCTAAGTTTATAGAGAACGATCTCCTTTGAGATGGGTATATTACACATTTCAGCTCCCACTTGGGAATAACTTTGTCTCCTTCACAGTATACTAGTGAGAGAATGAGAATGAAAAAGGCAAATTAACATCTTACTGTTATTATGATAATAGTTTTGACCTCACAGACTCAAAAGTGTCTTGGGGCTCCCCAGGGATCCCTGGACCACACTTTGAGAAATGCTGGCATATAGGAAACTACACGTTGTATGTTTGTGCCTATTGCAAGTAATGGTAAATTTATATTGAGAGCAGCCAATGAATCAAAGTATCCAAACCACAGGTAGTTTTGGTTCCTCCTCATTAATACAGTCCCTTTTTAATTGTCCTGATTGAAACCATACTCTTCATATTCTGGACAAAATATATAGAAATAGAATGGAAAGGAATTTCTTCAAAATACCTCCAGTGGTTAAACAATTAGAAAACTTATATTTGGAGGAAGGTATAGCAATTACTGGTAGAGGAAAGCAAAGACACTTAGAACAATGAGACAAAGAAGTAGGTCTAGGCACATGATCAAAAGTATGATTTCCAGGTGCAATAATCTGACCTGATTAAGAGACTGTCACCCTTGTAAGAAGGGACTGGAGATACTGGTTAGCACAGAGAATTATAATTTCAAGAGAATTATAATTTCAGAAGAATTATCTTTCTGTTATTATAATTGTAATAGTTACAAAGTTGCATGTTAATATTCTTTTTCCCTGTTTTATTCATTGGAGTTACTGATGACTAGGAGGAGAGCTGAAAAGAGGGACTTTCTGGGCTAAGAACTGCAGTTCCTGTAGCAGTCTATTACTGCTTATGCTACCCCTACTGCTCTTACTGTGCTCAATGATGGCCCAGGAAGATTGGGCTGGCCCAGGGAGTAGTGAAAGTAGAACAGAGAATCAACATTGAATATAATTATTAATATTTACTGAATGCTTTAGAAAGTGTCAAACTATTGTAGTATATTCATCTTCCAAATACATCACTTCATGCTTTTTATTCTTCTTCACTCTCCTATTTAAGTTGCAAAACAGTTAAATTGTATTTTATACTTAGGCACAGTGCCTGAACATGAGTCAACCAGTCAAAGAAGTAACAAATTTGAGAAAGGAACCTTTTATCTTCAACCATAATCTTGTCCTGCTGCTCTAGCAATGCTTAAATCATTTGTTATAACTCTACTTGAGTACCAGCAGTTACGGGAATCATGCCAAAGGCACATGATGAAGAGATAAAAGAGAATACCACTAAGATAGGAGGGTAAATCACATATTATTTAGTAAGAGGGCACAAATTAAGCCAAATTTGAAATCTGACCATAATACAAGGCTAGGTGAAAATTAACTTGAATTGAGCCTTTTTACCTTAAGGGGACCTGGGTTAAAAGAATCCTAGGAACACAGAGAGTTAAAAAAAAAAAAAAAATGGGGAGGGAGTGTAAATGTATTACCAGAAAGGTTAGATGAAATCACACTTAATCATTGCTGTGACAAAAGATGCAGCCAACTGTGTTCAATACAGCCGTCTTTCAAGGCTAGAAAATCTTTCCTGACTGATTCATGACAGTATCATAGAGTCCACTGGGTAAGTTAAGTTAGCAAAATCAGGACAATAGTCAGCTAATTAGGTTGTATTACAAGCTTTCTTCTTGTAATAATTTCTCAGCCATATTTCCCCATGTAATACTATTCGGATGAAAAGAAAGCACTTTGGTTTCTAAACATACTGTATGAATCTCAGTGTCCTGTTCCTTCTAATCTCAGAAGCCTTGAGTTCTGCCACAAGAACTGCTGGTGTTATAAACTCCTAAAATTACACCTCTGTGAGAACTCCAATAGTCATATGTAGTGAGATTTCAGTAATGATTTAAGCAAAAGCCTGAGAAACTAATATCATTGTTTTGATAGCATGATAAATTTTACAAAACTTGCTATTTTAGGGTTTCCCATCTGTTAGATTTAATTAGACTCTCTTAGATGTAATTCTGCTGAAATTCTGGTTTTCATATTTTTATCAAAATATATTGAATATCTACAATGAAAAATGATACTCTTATTATGGCTGTTTCTTTACCTGCCTTCAGAAGACAGGTGATAAAATTCTATTTTAGCTCATCTATGGCTTGTTAGTTATTTTATATGGATTGAAATTTCTCAAATGGAGTATTATGTTTTAATATAAAATATTCTTTATTTGTGAGTTGGTTTCTATATTTTTAGATAGGGCACTTCAGACATACTTACCTCAACTGAAATTTGTAAAAATAAGCTTCCTAAATAATTATGTCAGCTATATATGCTTAAACATTGATTGAAAAAAAATCAAGCACTAAAATAAAATAAAGATTTACAGAAATTGAGTTGAATCATTTAACTTATAAATCAGCTAATAAAGAAAATATCTCTAATTTATGTCAATAATAAGAAATTTGCATCACTGTTAGCTTATATAGCTCAGATTATAGTTAAAATTGCTCTTTTAATGAGAAAAGATAGAGCTCAATACAATTTAAAACCTGAAACTTTAGAAACACATGCAGTATATATGGTAGGTAGGATTTTAAAAATATAAAGACTTAAGAATAGAAGGAAATTATAATAGCTTTGGTTAGAATACCATCTTCTTCTGAGAGAAAAGAAAATGCTAGAAGATTCAATGACTAAGGAAAAATATTAGGAATCTGAAACATTTTTTTACTAAATATTTTGCTGTAGGAAAAAGTAACCCCTCTAAGTAATCTGTCATAGTTTTAAAGAACACATAAGTGAACACTTGATTTGTATTATTTTTTTTCCTGATTTTGAATTTATAATGTTCAAAACTTTCATATCAAGATCTAATATAATTACTCTGAACTTTTATATGACTGTGTCTAAAGTTTGTTTTCCATGTTATTTTCTCATGTGTATGCTTAGTTTTTAAAACTTTTTTAATACCTTACAATATATCTTTTTCTTTCTTTTTGCTCCCTCAGTAATCGTGTGGAAGCATGGACAAGAGATGTTCCTTTCTTACTCAGACAAGAAGGCAGGCCTATGGTTAATCTTATCCCTAATAAGACTAAAGTAAGAGTGATGGAAAGAGACTGGAAGAATACAGACAGAGCAATAAATTGGTTAAAAAAGGAAGCAATTAATTATACTGAACCATTTGTTCTTTATTTGGGATTAAATTTACCACACCCTTACCCTTCACCATCTTCAGGAGAAAATTTTGGGTCTTCAACCTTTCACACATCTCTTTATTGGCTCGAAAAAGTAAGTGACTACAGTGTGTGTGCTCAAAAGTTCAAAAGTTAACATTATATCTGTAGCTTATTTGTATTAGCTCATTGTTTCTTTTATTATCACTTCTAAAGAAAGATTTGAAAATTGTATATTCAAACTTGACCAATAACTGGTTGATTAAAAGCTAATGAGGCAATTTTACAGAAATAAAGTAAGTATTAAAACTCAGAAACCCACTTCTAGATTGAATACATTTGCACATATGTCTATTAAAAGAGAAACCGAAAGGCATTCTCTTAGGAGTGTAGGCAGTCCTCACTTTACACAGTTCAGGATTATAAAAATAACCTTGCAAGCTGAAACTGTACAAAATGATCTTGGTAATTAAAGAAAAAAATGACCATTTTTCTGGAACCTTTATATTTATTTGTCAAAAGATTTAAAATTCTCTTCTCTTGATAACAAATGAAAATAGAAAAAAAAATAGTAAAATTAGTGTTTACTTAGTGCACCGTAATGAAAACACGAGGAACCTTGAGAATTAAAGTGGGATATTTTTTGTAAGAAAAAAAAAGTATCAGTTTGTTAAAAACATATCAGTATAGGTTAAACTTATGCTGTCAAAATTTATCAGTTTGTTAAAAACTTAGTAGTAGTTTGAACAGTGCTTGCCTTCTAATTATCTGACTTAGGATATAGAGCAAACATCTTTATGACCTGAAAATTGTCATATTTCTTTTTAAATTTGTACCACCTTCCAACATTTTACCTTTGGCACTTTCAATGCCGTGCTGTATCTCCAAGAGTTCCCTTAATGTGAAAATTTTTACCAGCGTCACTCCTCTGGGACATCTTTGTCCTTTTCTTCACAACAACCTTCCTCGTTTATATCACTAAGGGTGCCTTCACTAAGTTCTTCTGGCTGCATATGTAGAGTCTCTGGAATGGTAACAGTGTCTGCCTTCCCAGGTCAGCTCTTTTTGCTATAATTTCTTTTTATGTTTGATTTGAATGTCACTTCTAGCCTTATCACTTTTTATTTTTTACTGCACATTCATCTTTGTTGACCAGTTCCACTTTTGATTATCCATTTTTATAAAGTGTCACATGGATTTTTCACTGGAAGACAGGGAAGCAGCACTAGTATATGCTTTGCTGTCTGTCTGTGCATGTGCTGAATAACCAATCACTGACATACTTTGAAAGAAACAACAGCATTGGTCAATGAATGCAGTGTGCATTGTATATCTGTTATATGTGATTTGTAGACCAAAGAGCTAGCAGAACATCAGTATGTAAGTTTGTGCTTTATGCAATTATTCATAGTTAATATACGCTGGAAACTGAAATTCGAACCCTGTTGTTGGGGAACTGGTGTTTTGTTTTGGGAGATTTTTTGTTTTGTTTTGTTTTTTGAGACAGTCTTGGTCTGTTGCTCCAGCTAGAGTACAGCGACATCATCATAGCTTACTGCAACCTCAAATTCCTTGGCTCAGGTGAGTCTCCTGCCTGAGCCTCTCAAGTAGCTAGGACTATAGGCATGCACCACTGGACCCAGCAAACTTTTCCATTTTTAGTAGAGACGGTGTCTTGCTCTTACTCAGGATGGTCTCAAACTCCTGAGTTTAGGTAATCCTCCCACCTCAGCCTCCCAGAGTGCTGAGATTACAGAAACTAGTGTTATTTAAACTGTGATAATGAAATTTATGTATATCAGAACCATATGATGCAAGGACTCCCTCTATTTTGAAGTATGTAGTCTTAAAATTAAGTTACTTCAAAAATTGTAATCAGAATCACTATTTACTGCATCCTGTTTTAAAGGAAATAATGTCAGAGTTTTATATACTCCATATCTTCTTTAAAAAGTTCTAAGTGGCTCCATCTTCAAAAATTTGTCTGGAGTTAGTACTAGCCAAAGGAAATCAATTAACTTTTAACTAAATAGTAAGTAGATGTTTGAACTTTATAAAAGTTACATAACTAAAAGATATATATGAATTAAAGGTCTAGTCTTAATTGTTTTTACCAAAATCGTAAGCAATTATATGTATTAAAAAGATGTATTTGTTTTTAACAAGCATTTGGCTATCTTATTAGATATGGGCATTTTTACTAGTGAATTATTTGGAAAAAGTATTTAATATTCTCAGGATGTTGATTCTGAAGTTTTGAATTGTTCACACAACTATTAATATATATTAAAGTACTTAGACACTTCTGGGCTAAAATACTGTCTACTAAAGCTCATATTTTTCATTCAAATGTATAATTTTTAAATTTTTTACAACTGTATCACTATATGTATATATACACATATTAATATACACACAGATAATGATATATACCTTTTGTTAGTGGGAATATTAATAATTTATTTCTGATTTATGTATTTGGTTTATATTTTTCTTACATAATTTATAGCCATTTTTTTTTCTATTAAAAGTAATTAAACATTGTCTAGTTTACCACACACATTTGTGGAGGAGAGGAATGTTACTACTTTACTAGCATAACTAAGTTTCTTCTCCCCTTTTTAGGTCTCTCGTGATGCCATCAAAATCCCAAAATGGCTGCCCCTGTCAGAAATGCACCCTGTAGATTATTACTCTTCTTATACAAAAAACTGCACTGGAAAGTTTACAGAAAAAGAAATTAAGAATATTAGGGCATTTTATTATGCTATGTGTGCTGAGACAGATGCCATGCTTGGTAGGTGGTATAATTATTAAGCAATTATGTGAAGAAAAAGTATAATATTTTTGCAACAAACCATGATCATGCTGGTTGATGACTTGCATGAGAATCCTCAGATATTTCTCAGAACAGTTGTTTTGATACATAAGACTTAGAACTATAAGAATCTTGACATACGTAAAAGTTGGATAACTTGTATTATTAATAGAATAAAAAGCTTTTATATCTTAGTTATTGATGAATTCTCAGATTCATCAATGCTCAGAATTGTTCATACATAAATAAGGATGCTAGGAGGCTATCATCTGCTTGAACAAAACTTTTTACCAGCCTTAAACAGGAATCAGTATTTAGGCAAACACAGGTGCACATGTAAAAGGTAATACTAAGACAGCTTAGGTTCTGAGAGATGAGAAAGGTTACTTATAGAAAATCTTGCAATTTCTTCCAGACTTGTAATAATTACAAAACAAATCCATCCTCCCTAGGCCCTTTATAGCAAGGCTTAACTGAAGCTGAAATCAGTTTACTCATGTATATTCTGGTCCCAAATCATTTTGAATTTCCTTTCTTTATTCAGCTCAAGGCCAACTCAAAACCAAACCTGCCTTCAAAGATGATTGTCAAGAGAGTGTTATTCCTGCTCACTTTTCATTACAGCATGAAAAGTTTCCTTTTCATGTTAAAACCCTGGTTTTATAATATATCCATTTTTATAACAAAAGTTATTTTCACAAAGTCATGTCATTTATTTTGCTAAAGTTGGAGTATAATTGTGTTAGGGAAGTGTGGGTAGCATCTCTTCTATAAAGAGTAAACCTTGGGGGTGACAAGTGAATGGTTATTTGTTTAAAAGCATTCATTGGATAAAAATAGAATGGTATACTTTTCTATTTTCTATAATCTCTGCATAGCAGAAAGCAAACCATATGGATAAATTTTTAATATTTATAACAAGCATAAGATGTAATAGTCATAGGATTTTCCAAATAACCTAATGAAAATAAGATTTTAAGTAAGTTTCTTTAATCATGAGTCCATATATGTGTTGAGTTGTATTTCACTGATATTTTCTGATGTTAGGGAATGTCCACCCATTTGCACCCTAGAAATTGCATTTGAAAGTTTACAGCCATCCATTCATCCATATCTAATAAAGTGAAATATAATGTTGCTGCAGGGAATGTGGGACTACTGCTCTTGAAGTCTGTTCAGAGGAGAAAAAATGCAGCAGGTTTCTTCATTACAAAGTTTATGGAATATATGGTATCTTCATTTTTAAATCTACACTGGTCTTGTCACCAAAGAATATTTATTACTATTCATCGTGTTTGTTACCAAGCATGTAGTACCTCTTAGCTCTCAGGCACTGGTTGGGCACTGGGGTTAGTACATTGAATACTATTAAGAAATCACACATTAATTAAAGACACTCTTAGGTCTTTCCCCATCTTAGGGCCTTTATATTTTCTGCTCCCTATGCCTGGCATGCCCTTCTCTTTGGTTTTTACATGGCTGGTTTATTCTCAGTCTTTGGCTCTCAGCTTGGATATTATCCTCAGGGATGTCTTCCTCAACCACTCTAAGTTAGTATACCTGCCCCATCATTCTTTTTACTCTACATCTTGTCATGTTATTTAACATCATGATATTAATTATTTTGTCTGTTTACATGTTTCCTATTAATATCTGTCTTTTTTGAAGAACACAAGCTTCCTGAGGGCAGGGACACTCAGTCATGCCTAGCATTGTATCCACAGTGCCTAGCACATAGTAAGCACACAGTAAACATTTACTGAATGCACATAAATGCCAGGAATCACAATATATCATTGTAATTACAGTAAAATGCAAGTTGTAGGAGTCTTAGAGAATGAAGTGATTCACTCTCCCTGGAGGAACAGGGAGTGATTCTTCATCAGAAAGATCCTGGGCCATAAAGGAAGAATGGGAATTTGTCACGTAGATGGTGGAGAGAAAGAGCATTTGCCATGGAGGGCAGAGTATGTGCAGAGGCAAGGAAGTATAAACAAATATGGTGTGTTCAGGGGATTCTGAGTAGTTCAGTGTGCTGAAAGGTAAAGGTCTGCCAGGTAGCTGAGGGTGCTGAGGTTGGAGAGTGGACAAGGGCCTTCCTTGCTTGTCATGCTGAAGAATTAGACAGTGGAAAGCTGTGAAAAGTTTTAAGCAGGGATGTGACATAATCAAGTGATCAGATATTTTAGAAAGATTGCCACCAAGGTAGTACAAGGGAAACCATGGAGGGAAAAGAGGAGTGGAGACAAGACTGACAAGGAAATAATTCTAGTTGTCCAGATGAAATATCTGGAGGGTCTCAACACTGTGAATAACTCCATAGAACAGTGGGTCTCAATTCTGCCTGAACTCAGAATCAGTGGGTTTTTTAAATAATATTGACCCCTGAACCCCAGATTTAACAACTATCAAAGTAAGGATGACTCCTCTTTCTATACGATGCATCATTGTGATTCTCTTAATTACAATGAGGAAGAAGTCTCAGAACACTAAGAGGGACTGATGATAGGAATTTTACTATCCAGTTATTCCCTCCCCAAGAATAATGCTAAATCATGCTTGTATACTATCTGTACTGCCCCAGCCCTTCTTAAAAGGAGGGATTTTCATAACCCTCAGCCAATCTCATGAGCACGATCTGGCAATTGCTCAGGAGGTTGGGAGAAAAAGTAGCAAAGAAGAAGAGTTCTGACTGCTCTGTCACCTCCTGTTGCACAGAAATTGTGGGTCAGTAGTGACATCAATCTTTTTATCATCTGTGACATGTGCAGTGCAGACATCCAACTTGTCTTTCTCACTTGAGACACTAAAGGCAAGACTTTTCCCCCCATTCTCTAATAGAAACCTAGAAAGCAAGCCAGCATGATTTACAGATAAAGAAGCTTTGAGCAAACATTCCTAGAGATACTATATTTTCTCCTTCCTCTCTCTAGTTTGTCAATTTAGAAACAAGTATTAAATATATGAAACTTGGTATGACTTACTTAAGATCAGTACATAATATTCAGATGTTAAGAAGCATACTGACAAACTTTTAAAGGGTAGAGTTGTTATTAATATAAACTTAATGTGATACAATAAGACATGAACTAAAAGCTAATTAATAGATTTATCTTGATTTCTATTGTAGGTGAAATTATTTTGGCTCTTCGCCAGTTAGATCTTCTTCAAAAAACAATTGTCATATATTCCTCAGACCACGGAGAGCTGGCCATGGAACATCGACAGTTTTATAAAATGAGTATGTATGAAGCTAGTTCCCATATTCCACTTTTGATAATGGGACCAGGAATTAAGGCCAACCAACAAGTATCAAATGTGGTTTCTCTAGTGGATATTTACCCTACTATGCTTGGTAAGTAATGCAATTCTGTAAATATTTATTCGTAATAATGCTAGAGAATGAACGAGCAAAATAGTCAGAGGTCCTGGTGACTTGTTTATAACCCTGAGCAACTCATTTAACTATGAGTCAAATCTGTACTCTGAAAAATGAGGGTAATATTGCTCATGTTCCTGTGGACTTCACTTACTGTAGTCATTTTCCCTTCAAAAGAATCACAATCAGGATATGACTATAAAGTAAGTCACGTAAGATATTCAGGTTCATAACTGTGATATGTACATCATCTGATTCTCTACCACCACCTCTCTAAAATATAAGCATGTCCTTTCTGGATTATTCTACCCACTTTGAAACTACTAAGTATGAGCATATTTCTCATCAGACCCTGCAGATAGTTCTGTATTATTTGCTTTACTAGCTGCTTAATGTCTATGAGCACAGCCATAGGTCTAGAAAAGTAACATTTGGATAGGGATAGTTGGCAGTTTATGCTGAAGATACTAGACTAACTAGATCATCAAATTCAAAGGAAATTATATAGAACTGTAAGTTTCTATCTAATTTAGCAGATCACTTTAAATTCATTAGCATTTAAATGCTGTATGTAATTCCTCTGTTCTAAGGCACCATCACTTATAAAAAGCACCATCAGTTCATAAATTTTGGTGAAAAGAGAACACAACAAGATATACATATCTGTATGTGTATATTCTCTAATTTCAGAAATGTTAAAATGTGAAACACATCTTAAAATCAAAGAAACAAGAGTTCTTTTTATCTTCTTCTTTCTAACTCCAAGCCTTTCCCTTCATTTAACTATATTTGTTTAAAGCTAATTTAAATCAGAGCCCATTCCTATTCTCTTTTATTTTTTACCACTTCTCCTGTATTTGAGCACACTTCTTTGTTGTTCTTTCAATTTTTAATCTCTTCGGTTTCTTAGTCATCGTTTGCTGGTTTCCCTTTGTCTGAAAGCAGTCATCACACTTAGCCATGTCTTGGCCATTTTCTGGCTCCATCAATTTCCAGCTGATTGCTATTACTTTTCCTCATTTCTGTTTTTTTTAAGAACTTCATATGTAATCATGTGTATTTGTGTCTTGTTCTTCTCATCTTTTGAGTTTTATGAATATGTGCTTATTTATGTTGGCTTCTCTTTACAGTTTCCTTCCCCCATATAGAATTTTTCCTCATATAGAACTTCCCCCACCCTCCCCATTCTCAAAGAAAATCCTCCTTGGGTCATCTTGTTTGACTTTTTAGCTTTATTCTGTTTTCTTGAGGTACAGTGACCAGAACTGCAAAAAGTACTATAAAAGATTATGGAAAGTTGGATTGATTCTTTCTCAGTTTTTCCTGCAATATATTTCATAGTGATATTTGGTATTTTGTTTGTCTTTTTAACCGTAGCAGCTAAAGAGTCCAGTATCTTTAGAGGCCTGTCTACAGCGAGTCCTGTTTTATTCCTAGACATTCTGTCACCTTTTATGTTAGTTGATTAATGTGCATGGTTGAAATTCTTCTTTAAACATTGTTGTATATTTGTCTACAATGCAAATTTTGTACTCTACGATTTTGAGATATTATCACTATTTGCCATTTTGTACATCATAAAAGTTAAAGCTCATCTGCAAACTGACAGATTTCATAATGTATTTATCTAACAGGTCATAGAAGAAAATACTAAAAACAGTTGTTTAGAACTAGGGAATTTTGCTTTGTCTATTTGGGGGGACACCTGCCTATCACTGCCTAGTTTATATTACTTGACAGTAAGAATTTCTTTAGCTCCTTTGAAACTGCTTTGCATTTCATCCCCACTCTTCTGTAAATAATTTAGGTTCCCTGTTTGTTTTTCCTGTAATTTTTCAATTATTATAATTTTCTAAAACTTCATAGTTTTATATAGATTTTTATTTTTATCTTTCATAAGATTCTTGGTTATAGACTCCTTATTAATCACATTTCCCTGCAGAATATATTTTATTAACAATATTCATATCATGTATTGGTTAGACCTTCCCAATAAGAGTAAAGGAAGTATAGCCAAAAATAAGTGTCTCTCCAATTCTAAACTAAAACTTAAATTAATATCTTCAAGGATTAGTGCAATTTATAATGTGTTTCATAGTAAATTTTTTTTTATTATCAGAAGGGGGAAAGCCATATTTAAATGATTTTTTTTAGGGAGGAGGAAGGAGTGGAGGAGAATACCTAGGAATGGGTCTTTATGTAAAACACTGAAACATCCTATTAACCAGATGTTAAGCAGAAATAAGGTGGAAAGAGAAAGATGCCAGTAAGATACAAGATACAAAGGAAGAGGCAACAAGAACCTTATGTTTTTGGAGTTAACACTATAACAGTATTATTTATTTTAAATTAACTGTTTTATAAATGATAAAGGGTTAATATCCCTATAATTCTTATAAATCTATAAGAAAAAGAGAAATACCTTATTAACAAATTGACCAAAAGATATAAATAAGCAGTTCACAGCACAACATATACAAATGGCCAAGATATTTCTAAAGATTCAAACTCAGTAGTGATAAAAATATTAAAACAAGAACATTCCATTTTTCTTTCACATATAGAGTTTGCTAAGAATTAGAAAATCTTATATTAGAAATAAGTCTTCTTATATACTGCTACTGGGAGTATAAACTGATACAAATTTTCTGGAGGCAAATGTGTCATTACATTTCAGATTTCTTAGAAATGTGCATACTTTTTGACCTAGAAATTCCAATTTAGGAAATAACCTATAGCTATACAGAAATACTTATCTCCATGTATATTTATTATAGTATGAAGAAATAATTAGAAATAATATGAATATCTAGTAGTAATAGATTTGATAAAATATAGTCAATTCTATTTTAAAAAGTAAAATACGTGAAAATATTCCCCATGTATTATTAAAAATAAAATGTAGGCTTAAAAATTGTTTAAACAGGTTTGTTTTGTTTTGTCTGTTTGTTTATTGAGATAGAGTGTCCATCTAATTTACTGTCCAAATCAGCACATTTTTAAAAGATGACTATTAACAATTATACTAGGATTATCAGGCAGAAACTGAGTTTGTTGCCTTGTTTAACAGCATTAGCAGCCAACAAAGCAAAGATAATTCTGATGGTTCATGTTTAATCAAATGTTTAATTCAGCCTTTTAAAATAAAATTCCTCAGAGCTGGAAGAATTTAAAGCTACTTTATTGTGATTAACTATATAATTAAACCTGTCAGACAGAATGTTCTGTTTCACCTCTGCTTAATAAATAAACTTATACATATTTTGATAAAGTATCTACAAAGGATTTCTTATTTTGTTGTAACCAATTAGGAGCTTAAAATAGATACACACTATATTCTTAGAACTCTAAAGGTCTTTACTATTATAGAGGTAGCTATACTATTTTGTATGAATCCCATTTACACACACAGAGTATAAGCTTAAAAAGAAATATGACATAAAGAGAAAAATTTGTTTTGAAATTGATTTTTCAAGTATGAACTTTGCTCATAGTACATTTGAGCTTTAAAACAAGATATTTGAGTCTTCTGGGAAATAAAAATGAAATTAAAATCCTGAAGTATTATGAAACAGAAACAAATACTTCTGGTGTCAAAAAGAAAATTCTCAAATCATAGCCCAAGCCAGACTTTCTCTTTCCTCCCTTTTATGGATCTTAGAAATATATAAAAGATGGTGATTCAAAAAAACATCAATAGAAAGATACTAGAAAAAACCAATTAGGACTTCTATTTTAATAAACCTCCCTTACTATCAAGAGTCTATTGAAATTTAAGATGTTACAATGCTTTTATTTAAAAGTCTGAAAGTCGTTTTTTAAAGGTTTTTTAAAAGAGTGTTTTCTATAAAATATTTCATAATAAAGTGGGAAGAATATTCTTAGTTTATTTATCATTATAGGTCCTTTGTAATATACTATTACATTATCATTTCGTAATATTGATAGAAAAATACCATTTTTATGAATAAGAATTCTTCATAGTATTAGTTGATATTATTTCAGAGATTATTCTTTAAAAATTACTCCCCAAAATATTTTCTTCTCTAATACCTTGTACCAGCATTCTTTAGCTCAGTGAGAAATAATAACCTTGTACCAGCATTCTTTAGCTCAGTGCGAAATTAAAATTGTTTTGATTTTCACTTTTAAACTTATTTTCATGTGAATTTTTTCAATAGTTGATCTTTTTGTAAAACACCTACCTTCCTCCCACTTAAAAGATAAGTCTAGATTTTTTTGAATTGTCAGTATTTAAAAGAATACTTAATTGCCAGTGATTTTAATTGCAGCCTCTTCTTGTTAAAGGATCTTAGTGGAAGGCTGGGGGGTGGGCAGTTTTTCTGTGTAGACTCTTGTGTCTTTTATTAGCTGAGAAATATCATAAAATTGAATAACTATAGTAAAGCAAGACTTAAGGTATAGTATTAAAAAGTACAGAAATTCTAGAGTCAGACTGCCTAAGTTCAAACCTCTCCTCAGTAGTTACCAATTATGTGACCTTGGGCAAGTTACTTAACATCAAAAAAGTTTCTAATTATAATTGGTTGGCAGAAAATTAGTATAATTTGCCTCTTCCAAGGAAAATAGAAGATACAAAGTTTTAAATTAATGATATATGAAACATTACCTTCAGAAGATTTATAGAGGTCTTTGTCTACTTTCTTATTCTCCTTTAATTAATCTGTTTTTCTTCAGATACATTCAAATTAAACTAATTTTCTTATTCAATTTTGCATAATTTCTAACATTACTGATGTAATTCTGTCTTTCCTGGAAATATTTAAATATACATAAAAATATGGAACATTGAAACCAGAAAAGGGATGGTGAGGCAACCGCAGACTCATTTTGGATCTATGTTAAGTACCCTGCCATAATAATGGTAATTTTTTTTTTTTTTTTTGAGACAAAGTTTCACTTTGTTGCCCAGGCTAGAGTGAGTGCCATGGCGTCAGCCTAGCTCACAGCAACCTCAAACTCCTGGGCTCAAGCAATTCTGCTACCTCAGCCTCCCGAGTAACTGGGACTACAGGCATGCACCACCATGCCCGGCTCATTTTTCCTATATATATTAGTTGGCCAATTAATTTCTTTCTATTTATAGTAGAGACGGCGTCTCGCTCTTGCTCAGGCTGGTTTTGAACTCCTGACCTTGAGCAATCCGCCCGCCTCGGCCTCCCAGAGTGCTAGGATTACAGGCGTGAGCCACCGCGCCTGGCCTAATAATGGTAATTTTTCTATAGGAAAAAGGCAGTTTGAGTTCCAAACAAATATCTGGAAAGCAAGCAGTTTTTAAAAATACAATCTGTTTTTAAGTTGGACATTTCTCTTGCTATTGTTCTTTGTATCTATATTTGATACATTAAAAATAAATGACTTTTCCCTCTATCAGTGTAATCCAGGATTCCTCAAGGCATGTTTTACAAAGTACTAGTCCCTCAAGATACTACTTAAGAGTAAAAAAGAAAAGTTCGGTCATCAAATAAGTTTGGGACACATGGTATACTGTATACCAATCTTGAAGGTTTATAATGCACATCAGCAATACATTTACATCTACAACAAATTTACTATTTAATTTTGTTTAACCATTGTTTTGCAAATGTATGTAACTACTAAATCCCTTTCTTATATAGGTCTTGTTAATATCCTGTGGAAAAAATTTTAAGAACTGTGACTATTTAATCATTTAATGAAAAAAAAGACTGGTGATATTAACTAATATTTGTTGAGAGCCTCTATGTCCCAGTATTTTACATAAATTATCTTATTTCAACCTAAAATGAGCCTATGAGATACAAGTACTGTATGTCCCCATTTTACAGGTGAGAAAACTGAGGTTCAGAGAAGTGAATGACTTGGGCAAGGTCACACGGCTAGTGGAGTAAGCATTTGAACCTAGGCAGTCTGTTTGCAAAATCCATATACAATCTCTAGTCTGTGACTTTTAATGGTATGAAAAAAATATAAATTATGTCATTTATGTATTTTCAACTAATAAAAGAATAAGTTATTTTTAAATATTTTGTTATTTTTCTTATATAGATATTGCCCAAATTCCTCTGCCTCAAAACCTGAGTGGATACTCTTTGTTGCCATTATCATCAGAAACATTTAAGAATGAACATAAATTCAAAGATACACGTCCGTCCTGGGTTCTGAGTGAATTCCATGGATGTAATGTGAATGCTTCCATCTACATGCTTCGAACTAATCAATGGAAGTATATAGCCTACTCTGATGGTGCCTCAGTGACGCCTCAACTCTTTGGTAATTTTGTTGATATATTTTTAGGTGTAATATTATATGTAATGAGCTGACTTAGATTGCATTGCTCAAGAAATCTAATAATCACTGTAAAATAAATTAATATCTACTGCTTCTCATGCTGGAACAGTCTACAAAGGGCTGCCCATATGAAGAGCAGCTTCTTTCAAATAAGCCTCTGAATTTCAGAGAATGTGCCTGAAGCCCTTTGATCTGGGTCTCAAGATAGAAGCCACTGTTTTCCCTGATTAGGGTATTTGTTAATATTTATGGTTATCGATCCCAATCATCAGTCAGCACCTTCTCATTATACCTAGGTTTCACCTTTCCTGAAGGATTAACACCTGTCTCTTACGGAGCTTGACATTCTACATATATTATTTAATGCTCACCACAACCCTACAAGATGGTACCATTATTATCTTCATTTTACAAAGGAGGAGACTAGGGGTCAGAAGAATTCAGATAGCTATTCAAGGTCTCAAGAAGTAGCAGAACTGTGATTTCAACCCAAATCTCACTCCAAAATCACTGCTGCTTCTACCCTATAAAAATGCCTACCTGCGTCACTACTCTGCAAATTAATTTTTAGACATTATTGGATTTAGGGTTTTATTTATCCTCTTTCCCCATTTTGTACATAAAATATGCTAAAACTATCATTAATATTCATTTCTCCCTAAGTTTCCTTCCCAATTACAAATGTCAGAATTATTAACTCAAAATAATTCTTTAGAGACCAAACTGGCTAACCCCCTTAACTTTAAGAGCAGGGGATCCTTGGATTCAAAAGAAACTACTTAAATTTTCATCTTGATGAGTAATGGGCATCTGTTGCTCGTTCATTGTCCATTGTCAAATGAAATTTATGAGAGGCCATTGTTTTGAACTGAGCTGTACTAGGTCCAACAGACCAGACCAAATCAGAATGGAGTCACTTGTGCTAGGGGCCACATAATCAAAATGAACTTTAAAACAGGTGAATTGCCAAAAAAAACAAGGAGATTCACAGTAACCAATCATAAGGGGTTCAGTTTACTTGAGCCTACATGATAAAGAATTCCTCTCTGTTTTAACCTTACAAAAAAAGTAACTTTGTAATGACCAATCTGCTTTGTCCCTTGTCTCTTCTCTGCTTTCTTCCGCCTTTTTCTGCTTATAAAGTTTCACCTTCTCTGCTCAGCTCATCAGAGTGCCTTTTCTAAATCTTTAGTTGGGAGGTTGCCCAATTCATAAATCACTAAATAAAAGCCAGTTAGATCTTTAAATTTGTTAGAATTTTGTTTTGAAATACCATGTTCTGCAAAAAGCAGATATGACTATCAAAAGATCAGAGTGGGGAATCAGTGTTTTCTGTATTCTTTAGGACTTATTCACTGACTTCCCTTTCCTAAAGAGGTGCTGTCTGAAGTCTTCTACCACAGTCATAAATATCTTCAGGGGTCTCCTGGCTACTGTACTGCAATTGGCCTGTTGTGGGTTTTCCCTCAACATGCAGTGTTCACTTACTAACCAAAGGCAATTGTCATAAGATCCTTGACTTGTTGCTTTTCCAATTAGATTGGCATCCTAGTTACATCCCTGTCTTCTCATGCCATATTTATAGATTTTACCATTATTTTCTTGCTAATAGTGATGGAGAGATTTTTATTTCCATGACTGTTTGCTTAAATAGACAGTATTAGTTAATGTAACTTTCAAAAATCCAAGCATAAGATGCTCATATATAAAGAAAACTAGGAGTAAGTGAAGTCACAAGAATATAACTTGTATATGTAAAGAATTTTTATAACTGGAAAATTTGAGGCTATTCAAATGGGACAATATAAGCATCACAATTTTTTTTCCTCTGCATGTTAAAGTAGGTAAGCCATCAAAACAGGAAGAATTAATTCTAAAGCAACTTACTAATGATAAATCTTTGTTTCTGGCATCTAAGAATGAATAAGAAAAAAAGGAGGATAGCAGGAAAATGGTAAGAAGGAATACAATTTGGGCACACATGACAGGGTGTTTAAATTTTGGTATATTATTTTACCATTTACACTGTTCTTCATTTTACTACACTGAGAGGAACTGAAAGTAAAAAATTCTAATATATTATCCATCATAATGACATTCTAAATAAAATTTTTGGCAGGTAACTATTTTGACAGACATTTAATACTTTTCTTTCAGATCTTTCCTCAGATCCAGATGAACTAACAAATATTGCAATAAAATTTCCAGAAATTACTTCTTCTTTGGATCAAAAGCTTCGTTCCATTGTAAACTACCCTGAAGTTTCTGCTTCTGTACACCAATACAATAAAAAACAGTTTATCAAGTGGAAACAAAGTATAGGACAAAATTATTCAAATGTTATAGCAAACCTTAGGTGGCATCAGGACTGGCTGAAAGAACCAAGGAAGTATGAAAGTGCAATCGACCAGTGGCTTAAAACCCACACTAATCCAACAGTTTGAACAAAATAAGAAAATAATGTTCTGGAACTATATATAAATACATTAAAAGAGCATAGTTATTATAATTACATATTTTAAATGAAAATTTTAAGTCACTGATTTTAGCTACTTTGAAAGAATGTATATTTTGAAATAAAATGCCAATGATTATAGAATTATACATTTTCAAAAATTGTTATTAAGATGTTATTTGTACCAACTTCTAACAATTTAATTGAAGTATCAAAAGGATATAGCAAATACTGTAATATAAAAGTTATGTTCTTCTGAATAATATAGAATATAAAATATTTTAGTTATGTACCATAAAATAGTTATGTGTGAGTATTTGATGGTGTTTGATGCATTATTTGTATTTGATGGGACCATTTGGATATATCTGAAGTGAGTATTTGGCATATTTTATGTGACATAGACCGTGAATGTAGCTGATATTATTACTTTTTTTTAAACAGGTAATACATGCACAGGGTAAAAAACTTCAAAAGATACAAAAGGGTTAATGGTTAACGGTGAGCATGAAGTCTCCCTCCTTTCCCAGGCATCTGCCATCTAGTTCCCCTTTCAAGAGGCAACTTCTGGAACTACCTTCTTATGCATTCTTTTAGAATCTGAATTTGCATTTACAAACAAATATATATATTCTCTTTCCCCTGTACAACAATAGCATACTCCACACATTGTTCTGCATCTTGCTTTTTCTTTTCCCACTTAAAGTAGACACCTAGAAGTGAAATGGCTACATGATGTATATCTAGCAAAATTAGACTACATACTACCAAATTACCTTTAAAGAAGTTATACTAAGTGATATTCTCACCAGCAATGCATGTCCTCACATCCTTTGCCAACTTGATAGTAAAAAAATATTTTTCTTATTATAAATATGGTAGATCATATTTTCATATAGTTAACAGCCATTGGAATTTGCTTTACTCTGACTTTCCTACTTCTATTCTTTGCCTGTTTTCTGTTGGTTTCTGGTTTTGGTGTTTTGTTTTTGTTTTTTTTTAATTAACTACAGCCATGCTTTAGATAATAGTTTCTTGTAAGAGATTCTGTAAATATTTTCTTTCCAGTTTGTCACTGACATTTGTCTTTTGACATGTTCTGGTGTTTTTTACATGTAGAAATTTGTATTTTCATGTAATCAAATTTATGAATCTTTGTACCCCATAAGTATATACAGTTATGACTTATCAATTAAAAATAATTTATAATTTATTTATGAATAAAAAAATTATGTAACTTTGCTTTTGTGGTTTTGGGATTTTGTGTCATATTTAGAATGGTCTTTCCCACTTACCACTTTTAAGATTTTTATTTTTCACCCTTAGATCTTTGAGCCATATGGAATGCATTACATATTAGAGATCTAATTTTAGGTTTTCTTTTAAATGGTTACCCAATTGGCCTTTTATTGAGGCCAAGGTAACTCTTGTTACATTGGTTAAATCTCTAGTCTCATTGGTTTAAAATATCACTTCATTATATAGTGCCTTTGATTGAATAAATTATCTTTTCGCCCATTGATTTGAATGGAGGAAAAGTCCTATTTACACTTATGCCTTTTCTGAACATTTATTTTGCACTGGGCCATTCTATGTTATTAATCTGGTAGTCAGTATCTGGTAGGACTAGTCCCTTTCCAATGGTTTTCTTTTTCAGCATTGTCCTAGCTACTCTTGCCCACTTAGTTTTTCCATTCAAATTTAGAATGTTTGTCTACTTACAAAAATGAAAAATCCTATTAATCTTTTCTATGAAATGTGTAAATTTATAGCCTAATTTAGAAAGAATTTAGTTCTTTCTGATAGTCATTCTCAAGAATATAGTCTGCTTTTCCCTTTATTCAAGTCTTTTTTCATATCCCTCAATAGTATTCCAATTTTTCTTCATATAGATCAATTTCTCTGTGGAGATTTTTGAAAAGTAGGGACTTTAAAAAATAACCACGTAGGCCCCACCCCAAACCAATTGAATTAGAATTCAAGGAGGGAGCCTGGGCACTGTTTTGACATTATTTTGTTTGTTAATCCCTCCATGATCCTAATATGTAGCCAGAGATGAGTTTATTCCCATTTGTTTTACCATTTGTTGTTGCTACTTTAAGTGCATCTTTCTTCCACTATATCTTCCAACTTATTGTTGTTAATATATGTATTTTGTACCAAACTACTTTATTGTTTGTCATAGTTTTTCAATTGATATATTTTCTAAGTAAAAACATTGTGAATAATAATTTTACCTAACTTCATTATTTTTTCAAATTTTCTTTGAAGTTTTTTCATGAGCCACTTCATCTCTTTTATTATTATTCAGTGAATTTATATGATCTTATCTTTGTTATTTATGAATTTCTGAGAAATTTCACTTCAGTATATATCTATTTGTATATACTTATGTACTGTGAAAGGAAATCCTTAAGAGAAAGATCTCAATATTAGATTAATGTTAAAATTTTGTAAATCCACCTCCCATCTTCTAATTAAGCCTAAAGAACATAAAATAGCTAATATGTGCATGTACATGTTAATTATAGGAGGAAAAGCAATAATAGAAATGTAGTTCTGCCAACATAGGCCTGTGATGATAAATATAATCTACCACATTCTACCCAAACCCTTCAAGATGCATTCATTGTGAGAATTTACCAAGCATCTACAATTTTTTTAGCATATTAAGTATAGGGTCATAATTAGGTACAATTGAATTTTCAGGACAATGTCTCATTCAAAATGATATTAATTTGAATTAGACCATGAACAACCATGAAAGCAGAATATTAAGAAAAACTCGCAAAACCAAGACCTTGGTTATCTAATGCCAGAAACTTGAGAAGAACTGACACTAATAAAAGCTGGATTCAGGGCAATTTTCGGACCCCAATTTTTACAACCTCCACGACTGCCACCCTGTTCTAATCTACCATGATCTGTTGTTTGGAATTTGGCAATAGACTCACTCCCAAGAGGTATCCCTGAGACTGTCCTTGGCTTTCCTCAACTCAGCAGCCAGAGTGATCTTGTCAAATATAACTGATCACATCACTTGAATACTCGAACTCCCCACTGGTTTGCCATCTTTTCTGTAAAAGCCAAAGATATCATCACAACAGCATTTAGGCCCCAAGTAATCTGGTCACATGTTCTCTCTCAGACTCCATCTCCTTCCACACTCCCAGCTGGTTCATTCTGCTTCAGCCACGCTGGCCTCACGGTCCTCCTCCAGGCATGTATCACCTCAAGACCTTTGCACTGGTCAGATCTTTCTACTTGGAACACAGTCCTTTCCTCAGATTTCTACATGGCTCACTTTGTTACCTTTTTTAGGTCATTACTTGCACCTCGCAAGATTTTCTCTGCTTTATTTTTCTCCCTAGAAATCATCACCATCCAATATAGTGTGTGTTGTCCATGCTTTGTTTATGCTGTCTCTTACCCCTCCTAATCCCACCAGATAAAAGCTCCATACAAGCATGCCTTTTTGTCCTTTTTTTTTCCCCTAAAGTATCTCAAGTGCCTGACACAAAGGAGAAGCTTAGTAAATACTTGTTGAATCAATTTACTTGGAATTCTAGTTGTTCAGGTATCACACTGATTTAGAAACCAACACATTAGGCTATGCCAGAGCAGGGAGTAAAAGAGCATAACCTTCCCAATAAAGTAGGGCCTTCTAGGAACAGTAAATTCAAGCAAAAATCCTGGAGAAAAGACCCAACAAAGGGATTCTACCTTCTTTAAAATATTTTTTTAATTGACACAATTATTGTACCTATTTATGAAGTATGGTGTAATATTTCTACACATGCGTATAATGATCAAATCAGGGTAATCAGCATATCCATCACCTCAAACATTTATTTTTGTTGGTAACATTCTAAATCTGCTCTTCTAGCTATTTGAAAATATACATTAAATTGTTAATTATAGTTACCCTATAGTGCTAGAGAACACTAGAACTTATTCCTCATATCTACCTGTGCTTTTGCATCTGTTAATCAATCTTTGACTATTCCCTGTCTCTAATAATCATTATTCTACTCTCTACTTCTATGAGATCAACTTTTTTAGCTTCCACGTGAGTGAGAATATGCAGTTTTTGTCTTTCTCTGTCTGGCTTATTTCACTTAACAGAATGTCCTCCAAGTTCATCCATGTTGCTGCAAATGAAATAATTTTGTTATTTTTATAGCTAAATAGTATTCCATTGTGTATATGTACCACATTTTCTTTATCTATTCAGCTGTTGATGGACACTTACGTTGATTTCATATCTTGGCTATTGTGAATAGTGCAATAAACATGGGAGTGCAGATATCTCTTTCTGATATACTGATTTCCTTTCTTTTGGATATATACCCAGTAGTGGGATTGCTAGGTCATATGGTAGTTCTATATTCAGTTTTTTGAGGAACCTCCATACTGTTTCCCATAATGTCTGTACTAATTTCCATTCCCAACAACAGTGTATGAGTTCACCTTTCTCCACATCTTCACCAGCATTTGTTATTTTTGTCTTTTAGATAATAGCCATTCTAACTGGAGTAAAATAATATCTCATTGTGATTTTATATTTTTCTATGAAAAAGGCTGTATACTAAATATTTTAGGCTTTGTGAGCCATATGGTCTCTTTCACAGCTACTCAATTCTGCTGTTGTAGCGTGAAAGCAGCAAGATACTATGTAAACAAATGAGCATGGCTACATTCCAATAAAACTTTGTTTACAAAAATATAAGATTTGACCTGTGGGCCATAATTTGCTAAATGCTGGTCTAGAACAATGGTTCACAACTTTGCTGCAAATTGGAATCATCCAAGGATGTTTAAAAAATATTAATGCCTTGCTCCTACCCCAAGCTGTGGGATTTTTAAAAGCTTCCCTGGTGATTCAAATATGTGGGACACTCTAAACTGTTTTACTTTTGACAGAACATGGGAGGAAAAACTAGCAGCCAAAAATGTAGGTAAGAAAATAACTGATATTTTGACACATTTTTAAAGGCCAAATGCATGTGAAAATAACAGTAGAAACTCCAGGAGCCCCACACACAGAGAGTCCACACTGACTAACCAGCTTTCTTTTGTGGACCTCAGCTTCAACTTAGGAGAAAGACAAGAGACAGGGCAGGGACCAGATGGAGCACCCCTGTTTGATCCGTGTGGAGATTGGCAATGGCTGCCTCTGGAGGACAAACACAAAACTCAGAACTTTTCCTCATTTAAAGCAAAACCCATTTGCCACTGGGGCAGGAGCAGAAAACCCTCTCAGCCTCAGTCCTCAGCAAAAAGTCAGCTGTCACTGGGGATAGGTAGACTATAGCAAAAGCCATCTGCTGCTGAGAGAAATGGAGAAGCCCAATCATGTCCAGAATCCTTTGTTACAAAGCAAAAAGTCTCTCGCACAAGGGATAGGGACAGGGAACTTGCTCTTGGAAGTTACAAGGCAGAGTTTAGCTGCCGCAGGGGGAAGAGACAGGAGGGTGGGGCAAGTCCTACACTTGAGGGTTAGGACCCTCCAGGCCTACATAAGACTGAGGTTGGAATAGGAGGGCCAGGAAAGCCCCTTGCTCCAACCATGAGCAACAGCACATTACTTGTGGGAGCTGGGCAAAAGAGTAGAGAGAGAAACATCCCCACCCGGACTGCCATGGTCAGGTGTGCAGGGCCGGCTGAAAGTTGAGGATGGGACAAGCACACTGAGGAAAGAACCGCCAGCATCCTTGGCCTCACACTAATCCAAGATAGCAGTCTGGAAGAATTTAAATCAGTAGTATGATAATGACAACTATAGTAACAACAAAACCCAAACTTACCTCAACTACCAACTAGATTGACTCAACCGTCTACCTAATGGCCCAACAGATGAAGAAGCATTACCATTTTCAGAAATTAATACTGTTTACATCAGTCATTATTATTCTCTGACATGCAATATGTGGCATTCAGTCAAACTTACAAGGCAAAAAAAAAGAAAAAAAAAAAGACCCATTTTTAAGAGATAAAACAGTAAATAGAACCAGACTGAGAGATGGCCCAGAAGTTGAACCTATCAGTAAGGAAACTTAAAATAGTATGATATATGATATTTGCTGAAGGATCTAATGGAAATACGTACAACATGCATGAAAAGATAGGAAATTTCAGCAGAGAGAAGGAAACTATAAAAAAGAATAAAATGAATATGCTAGAAATTAAAAACATGCTATCATGGATGAAGAATATCTTCAATTGCCTTAACAGCAGACTAGACACAGAAGAATTAGTGAACTTGGATATTGGCCAACAAAAATTTTTCAAAATGAAATACTGAATTTCAAAGAGTGACAAGCCCCTCTGAGGAGAGATGGGACAGAGGAACAAAAAAGTGAAGAAGTGGAAAAAAATAGAGCAAGAGCTGTGGGATAATATAAAATAGTATAATGTATGTGTAATTCAAGTCAAAGAAGGAGAATAGAGAAAATGTAAGAAGAAATATTTGAAAAGATAATTGCTGAGAATTTTCCAAAATTAATGAAAGACCACAAATCATCAACCTAAATGTTTAGAGAAACTCCAGCAGAATATACACCAAGAAAAGCACATATAAGCACATCCTACTCAAAATGTTGGAAAACACAGATAAGGAGAAAATCTTGAATGCAACTGCAAAAAAATAAACATTCCAAATAAAAGAACAAAGATAAAAATTACAAAATTGTGTCATTACAAAAATAAGCAAAACCATCAAAAACTATACAAACCAGAAGACAATGGTGCAACTTCTTTAAAGTACTGAAAGATAATATAACAATTCTGTCTTGAAAAAAATAAATCTTTATATATTAAATATTTTATATATAAATTATATATTTATATAAATTATATATATATATATCACTTAAAGAAATACTGTCATCCTAGAGTGCTATACACCTGGCAAAATATCTTTCACAAAGGCAGGTAAAATAAAAACTTTATAAGACCAAAAAAAAAAAGCAAAGTGAAAGAAGCCACACATAAAAGGCTACATATTATAGGATTATGGTTATATAAAATGTCCAGAATAGGCAAATCCATAGAAACAAAGTAGATTAGTGGTTTCCAGTGGCTGGAAAAGAAAAGAATGCATATGGGGTTTCTTTTCAGGATGATGAAAAAGTTCTAGAATTAGATAGTGGTGATGGTTGCACAAACTTGTGAATATACGAAAAAGCACTGAATTGTATACTTTAAAAGGCTGGATTTTAGGGTATGTAAGTTATACCTCAATTTTTAAAATGGAGAAATATTGCATGTTTTTCATCTATGAGAATGACAAACGACGCTCATATTGTTGGGACTATGGGAAAAAAGACCCACACATTGCTTATGTCCCTTGTCAAGGACAACTCAGCACCATGTATTAAAATGCTTTAAAAATGCACGTGGTCTGTCTTAGCAATTCTAATTAACAAGATTTTATTGTAGGGTAATAACTGAATGTGTATGCTAGGATGTATGAAAAGAAATGTTCTTCACAGAATAATTTATAAAGTGTAAATTAGAAAACCTTTGTCCAAAAATAGGGGGTTATGTATATAAATATAATTCATTTAACAGTAAACAAACATCATATTTTTATTTATTGACATGAAAATCTACCCAAATACGCTCTTAAGTGGAATAAAGGCAGGATACAAAATGTTGCATACAGTATGATCTATTTTGGTAAATATGTAAATCTAGTCATTATAGTGTGAAAGATATGGAACTAAGTATTAACAATAGTATTCTCTGGGCAGTATGTTAAGTGATTTTTTTGTGTGTGAATCTATATTGTCTAATTTTTCTGCAATTAATATGTACTACTTTTATAAAAAAGAGAAATACTAAAATTTCAAACATATATATCAAGCCTAATATCACTTACACAGAGACAAATCGGCATTATGTACCCCTGAATTGATATGCTAAGGATAGTGTCACCTATGTCATGTTCCTGCCAAAAAGTCCAACCTAATTATGTGAAAACAAATACAACGTTAGGGATATTCTGCAAAACATGTGTCGTGGACTTTTCAAATGTCAGCAACATAAGAGGATAAAGAAAGGCTGGGAGATTGTTCTAGATTAAAGACCACCTAAATAAATACTATAATTAAATACAATTCATGATCCTTGATTATGTTCAGCTCCGTGAATGAAAATAAGCCCATAGCAAAACACATCTTTGTGAAATTTGTTAAAGACAAAGAAAAGAATAACAAGCTTCTAGAAAGGAAAAAGCAATAATCACATGCAAACAAATCATAAATCAGAATGGCTTAAGGCTTCTCAACACAAACACTCTGAAGCCAGAAGGCAAGGGAGCAATGCCTTCAAAATTCAGATGGAAAATTATTTTCCAAAATAGAATTCTACACCCAGCCAAATCATCAGTTAAGTATGAGGGTAGAATATAGAAATTTTCAGATATGTAAGAGCCCCAAAAGTTACTCTTTCTCAAGAAGTCACTGAAAACTGCTTTCTTCCTGAACAAGGAAATAAAACAATAAAGAAAAAAGCATTAAATTCAAAAATGGGAGAAGCAGCATGTAAGCAAAAGGAGTCTCTAAGATGACGATGAACTGAGATGCCAGGATGACCTCTGGGCTAGAGGGCAACCTGTCCAGACTGAATCTACATGACTCAAATAATGAGTACAATGAGGTCTCTCACTGCTTCATCCTCTAGCTCTGCATGACCTTTTTAACCTTATGAAATACTGGATGATGTGTTCTACCAAAAGGGAAAGAAATTAAGAAAATAGATCAGAGATTCAAGAAATAGGAACTAAAACCCAAGAGAAAGGCAGAGAGTTTCAATAATGACAACAAATTGATGTCTCCAGACAACAGTTATGCAGCAGGCCTACAGAGAAATCAGCCCAAATCAAAGAAAAATGGAAGTCTCTGGTAAAGAGGTTTCCATGAAAAAAAAAATCAAAGTTGCTATACTATATTAGGAAACTGACCTTATAGAAATTGAGTGGAGGGACTATTTGGAAGTATAGGAAGAAATTAGCTATGGTAACAATGAAAAGAAAAGGCAATTATTAACTTCAAGAAAACCAAAAAGAAAATAATGAGATTTGCAATATATTATATCGCTCAGCTGAGAATATTTTCATTTTATAATAATATAAATACCAAATATAGGTCTAACTCCAAATAACTATATTCCTGTACTAATAGTATAGGAACAGGGAAACAGTGGGGACAGAGGTGTGAGTGCTAAATCTTTATCCTTATCTAATAAAAAGTTAATAGATAATATCTAAAATTGTTGAATCAATAAAATAGCACTACACACGTACTATTTAGAATTGTGGAAGTAAGTAAATGCCAGAAGCAACAGCCAACAGAATCTACATTGGTTCCCTCTAGCAGAGGGGATGGAAAAGTAGAAATGTATAGGACAAGGAACTCTCTCTGTTATCAGTCTCCTAGTTCTATTTGACTTTCAGAACTATGTGTATGTATTATTTTGATAAGAATTAGTTTTAAAATCAATGTTCATGTTTCATCAGATTTCACTAAAATTAAGTTCTATGAAAGGTAATTTCACTGGTAGAGTCTCGTTTTATAATATACAAGGGCATTTCAACAAATTTGAGACGAATTATAGATTCTTGAATATTTTTTAATTCTTTAATATTTTAGAGAATATTAAATTTTCTCTTAAAATTTTTAAGAATTTTTTAATTAATATTTTATAATTCTTGAATATTTTTCAAGAATTATCTTGAAAAATATTGAACGGGTACTGGCTAGAATTACTGAATGATAGGCATTGCTCAGAGAAAGCTCCCTGGAAGAAGTGGATTATAAACTGGGATGATGTGTGTGACACATAAAACCCTCTGAGGAGTGTGCATATCAAACCAGGATTTGAGATTTTCCAAGGCTATCACTCTACCTCTTTCTTAAATGCTCCACCAAGAATGGTTATTCCCATATCTCCACAGAGTTTCCCTAGGCTCTTCTGGATGATATTGGCAAAGGTACCAAAGGCATTTTTTCTTAGGTAATAGAGCTATAGTCAAGACAGGAATTTATGCTCAAAGTTATCTGAAATGCATCATATATCCATTAATTCATCAACTCAACACATATTCACTGATACCTACCGTGTGTCAGGCCCAGCACAAGGCACTGCACATACAATGATGAAAATAACGAAGGTCTCTAGCCAAGGACAAACAGCTTGGGAAATGGGATTCCTACAGCAACTGGCACGAGTATAATCTGTACCCACCAAAACCTCCTGTCCTGTGCATCTCAAAGTTCCAAATGTTTCCTCAGCCTGGGAATGTGAACCCCAGCAAACGCCCACACCGCCCTGGCCCCCAGACCAAGAATTACAGGAACTTCTCTTTTCACCACCATGAATGTGGAAGGTGCACAAAAGACAAACTGATGCTTCCAACAGGAAAACTGAAATTTGTTTGTGAAGAGGCAGGGCTAAGATGAAAGAGGCAGCATTTAATCTAAACCATTTCCTGTGACTTGGATTTCTTTTTTAAAAATTGGCCGCTTTATCGTTTTGTTAGTCACCTCTTCTCTAGGCTTATTGGAGGCGTAGTCCATGCTAGCAATCTCCCATCTGCTGGAAAACAGAATCAAGAGAATGGGGAGCGTGATGACACATCCTTCACTGGATGAAAATATTAGGCGGAAAGCAAGCAATGTACTAACTATTTGCATAAAACCTATTAATGCCCTCTTCAGACTGATGAAATGAATTTCACAACACCGAGAGAGAGCAGCTGTGATCCACTGCTTTCAGTAATGAGGAGGATTTGGGACAATCTGCAAACCACCGCCACTCCCAAAAGCGACACCATTGACTTTAGCACTCTCTAATGAAAATACTCTGGTTGTTGGGCAGAAGATGACACATCTTTATCAAAACTTCATCTCATAGGTCTTCTACCTGCTGAAAACGCTATTAGGTTCCTTGTGTTCCTGTTTTTCTCATGCTAGTGTAGATTCGTGGCATTTCAAACCACATTTTTTTAAAAAATCAAAACTAAGGTTTATCCTATTATTTTCCTGCTGGAAATCGCGAAACCATTGGGGCCGGTGGGCGGGGCGGGGGGGGGAGGGAAGGTGTACATCCTCGGTCAGGAGCTGCTCGTCCCCTGTGTTGGTCCGGGGACAACATTTGCCTTTACAATGGCCGAGCAAGGCGACCTTCTGTCCAGCTGTGCTTTACACGCAAACAGCGAGCGGGTCAGGTTCCCAGAGCCTAGAGGTGGCGGCTCCCGCCAGGGCAGCGTCGGGGGCCGCCGCAGAGAAGGGAGAGGATCCGCTGGGATTGGGAGGGGAGACGCGGAGAAGGTGGAGAATAGGAATCATGTGTGTTCCTCGAGTGTACAACCCACATTTGAGTGACAAATGACAAGGACAACCTATAAAAACAACTGAGCGCAAATCCGCCCGAATGCATCTCCCTTTCGCTGCGAGTGCCTTCGCAACTAACTTTGGGAACTCGCAGACCAGCGTCGCTCCCCGCGCCGCCTCGCCTCCACTTTGATTTCCCGCGTCCTGCCGCCCTCTTCCGTGCCTCCTCTTCCTCCGGGCTGAGCATGGAGGATTCCTTTATCCCCTCAACTCTGCCGCCTGCGCCCAACCTCTCCGCACCCATCTTGCTGGGCTGGGGCCTCAACCTGACGTCCGGGCAGGGAGCCCCTGCCCCGGGGCCGCCCGACCGCCGCGCCCGCCTGGCCTTCCTGGGGGTCATCCTGGTCGTGGCGGTGGCCGGCAACGCCACGGTGCTGTGCCGCCTGTGCGGCGGCGGCGGCGGGCCCTGGGCGGGTCCCAAGCGCCGCAAGATGGACTTCCTCCTGGTGCAGCTGGCCCTGGCCGACCTGTACGCGTGCGGGGGCGCCGCGCTGTCGCCGCTGGCCTGGGCACTGCTGGGCGAGCCCCGCGCGGCGGCGGGCGACCTGGAGTGCCGCTTCCTGCAGCTGCTGCAGGCGTCCGGCCGGGGCGCCTCCGCCCACCTCGTGGTGCTCATCGCCCTCGAGCGCCAGCGCGCCGTGCGCCGTCCGCAGGGCCGGCCGCTGCCCGCGCGCGCCCTCGCCGCCCTGGGCTGGCTGCTGGCGCTGCTGCTGGCGCTGCCCCCGGCCTTCGTGGTGCGCGGGGCCACCTCCTCGCCGCCGCCCGCCGAGCCCCCGAGCCCCGCGCGCGCCTGGCCCGGGGAGCGTCGCTGCCGCAGCATCTTCGAAGCTCTACCGCGCTGGCACCTGCAGGTCTACGCGCTCTACGAGGTCGTCGCGGGCTTCGCCGCGCCTGTCGCGGTCCTGGGCATCGCTTGCGGCCGCCTGCTCTGCGTCTGGTGGCGGCACCGGCCCCGGGCCCCTGCGGGTGCGGAGTCCTCGGCGGCGAGTCCCAGCCGAGCCCCCGCGCCTGACGCGCTGCCCCGCGCCAAGGTGCAGAGCCTCAAGATGAGCCTGGTGCTGGCGCTGCTGCTCGTGGGCTGCGAGCTGCCCTACTTTGCCGCCCGGCTGGCCGCCGCGTGGTCGTCCCGGTCCGCGGGAGACTGGGAGGGAGAGGGCCTGTCGTTGACGCTGCGCGTCGTGGGGGTGGCCAACAGCGCTCTCAATCCCTTCGTCTACCTCTTCTTCCAGGCGGCCGACGGCCGGCTCTGGCGGCGGCTGCGGAGGCGCCTGGGCGCTCTCTGCTGCGCGCGGCAGGGAGTCGCGGAGGACGACGAGGGGGTCGGGGGCCACCAGGCGCTCCACCGCTACCGCTGGCCCCACCCGCATTATCACCACGCTCGCCGGGAGCAGGCGGAAGAGGGCTGCCTGCGCCCACCCCCGCCGCGCCCCAGACCCCTGCCTTGCTCCTGTGAAAGCGCCTTCTAGGTGTTCAATGGTCGGGGACAGGTCGTCTGTCGCAGTGGCGCAGGCTCCAGGGAACACGAGGCCAGCCAGGGTCTGTCTAGACCACAACGGGCAGGATGGTCTCTGAGAGACACTGAAGGTCTCTTCCTCCACTCTTCTATTATATTTCCTTCTAATGTTTACATTTTCCTACACTCTTCTGATTCCTTCCCTCCAGTGTCTCTCACATTTCCCTACTTGGAGACGAGAGAGTGGGCCATTGGGAAGTTGAAAAACAGAGTTACAGAGTTATTTTTGCAAGGTTTTTTTACACTCTTACAGTGTTCTAGATAAGACCATTTATTTTAGCCAAATTGCCAAACTTTCATTATTTGCTGTGTTGTCATCTATTTTTACTTATTTTTGCATCGTGCTTAAATCAAAGTGTACCTTTGGGACCAGTGAGTTTGCCTTTCTTTCCAGGAGGAAAATCCCCGCATTGCTCTGCCTAGGGAGACGGAGAATTATGCCAGTAATACTGTCAGAAATGTAATCATGCTGTCACTTCAGAGCCACAGAGTATTTGTAAAATAAAAACATTTCCCACGGAACAATTAGTACTTTTTTTTTTTTTACATTGTAATATGTTTTCTCAGAAGAAAATCAGTGTGGCCTTTATTTCCAGTCTAGCGTCTACTTCAATAGAAGCTAGGATTGTAGGATGAAAGCATAAAAGCTTCCCTTGGTCTCTTTCAAATATGCCTAGTTTCTGCAGGAAATTGTTTCTGTGCCAAACCAGCCTCTAAAGCTGCCATGTTGTGCTCAGATGGAGCCTCTTAGTGCAAAATACCCAGAAAACCAAAGAAGGGAAGCACCCAGGTGGGGCTTATGGGTGGGGCTCACTGTCCCAGATGGAGCCTCAGGGAGATTTGCAGCTGGGAAGGAAGCTTAAACCTCAGGATGTTGCAGGCATATACAAAACTCCCTTTTGAAAAATGAATTCAGTGTCTGTTGGCATGCATTACTGAAACAAGGTCAAGGAGCAGATTTGATTGGTAACCTCTTCTTAACTGTTCTTGGTTCTAAAAAGAAGGGACAACACTGATGAACGATATATCCATGTGTTTACCAGTGACTTTGATCTTAGGAATCTGAAGCTTTCCATTATGTTGTTTCTTTTTCATGCACTAATAAAAGACTAAGATGCAGAGAGGGGAAACAGTTGGTTAAAACTTTTTTTTATAGAGCCATTGCTCTCTGAGGGCTCTTTGTTTTGTTCACCGATATATCCCAAATGCTTAACAGTGCTTCACACAATACATATTTGTTGCTTAATCCATCATATGAGTTATTCATCATCATCAGGCAAAGATAGAATAGATAAAAGATATACAAAAAGAAATTGCTAAGCTTGGCTTACCTTCCTCCAAAATGTTGGCAACAGATGTCACAGAGTTATAGATTTTCTTTCTCTCTTTTCTCCTCCCCACCTTGCTGAAGATGCTGTGGTTTGCAAAATACCAGGAATAAGTCAGCCAAAGAAAGAATACAGTTGTCTTCATGAACCTAAGTCTGGGTTATGGCATTATTTTTATTTATTAATAAACATTTATTACCTGCTTATTTTGTGCCAGATAATATGCGAGGCATTGGAGATGCTAAGATAAGACACCTTTTCCCTCAAAGACCTTATAGTCAAATATCGGAGGCAATTAATCTTAAAATTACAATGCAGTGCTATATGTGTTTTAATAGTCCACTAAGGGTGCTGGGAGCTCTGAGAAGGTCATCTGACAACCTTCAAAACTGAGTGGCATGGGGGAGAATTAGGAAAGTCTCACCAAAAGGGGCTGTGTCTTGAATGCTGGGTTGGGGGTGACCCAACAGGTCAGGGAGGGTGTTCCGGGCAATGAGAATAGCATTTGTAGTAGGGGAGCATCAAGTAATGACAATAATTGAAATGTCTAGCATTAAAGTGCCTGTGCAGCCTGACCTAATGGGATATGTGGTCAGAGAGACTTGACCTGGACCCACCGAAGACAGGTCTGTGTGTCAGGCCAAGAAAACAAAAAGCCTTTGAAGAATTTAATCAGCATTGTAATATAATCAAATCTAAATTTTGGAAAAGCCATTTCCAAATTGAGGGATCAACAAATTGAAAGGGTAGGAATACCTAGAAGAAGAGATTGAAGCAGAAGCTCAGAGAGTCCTCAATGTGTGATTTGTAATGTTGTACTACTTACAATGCTCTCAACCGAGAGAATAAATTTAAGGCAGCTGAGTCAGGTTCTCTGTTGAGACTACCCTAACAGAAAAGCTAATCCAGCTGGCTTCAACTTACTATCTCACATGAAGTCCAGTGGTGGGGCTGCTCCAGGGTTGGTTAATTAAGTAGCTTAACTTCCTAATTGAGGGCTATGATGATTACTTTTATGTGGCAACTTGGCTGGGTTAAGGGGTACCCAGTTAGCTGGTAAAACATTTCTGGGGGTGCCAGAAGAGATTGACATTTGAATCAGTACATTGAGTGAAGAAGATTGGTCCTCACCAATGTTGGCAGGAATCATCCAATCTGTTGAGGGCCAACCCAGTTAGAACAAAAAGGTGAAGGAGGTGCAAATTCACTCTCTCTTCTTGGGCTGGGACATCCATCTTCTCCTGCCCTTAGATAGTGATGCTTCTGTTCTTGGGCCCCCATACTCCAGGACTTATACTAGCAGCAGCACCGCCACCCCCAACCTGGTTCGCAGGCCTTCAGACTCAGACTAAATTATATCACCAGCTTTCCTGGTTCTCAGCTTGCAGACAGCATATGGTGGGACTTCTCAGCCTCCATAAGCACACGAGCCAATTCCCGTAATAAATCTCCTCTTATACCCTTGACTAATACAAAGACTCAGATCCTTTTCGCCTTTTCATCCTGCCATCCTGAGCGGTGGACTTGACACTCAGGCCAGTTCCCCCTTGAAGTCACAAAATGGCTGCTGCAGTGTCAGGCATCACATTCAAACATAACAAAGTCCAAAAGAAGAAGAATTTCTCTGTTATGCCCTCTTTATAAGAATAAAGAAACTTTTCTCAGAAGTTCCCAACAGACCATCCTACATGGCTTATTGGCCATACCTTTATCATATGTCCATATCAGCACCTATCATGGGTCCTCCATGATTGGCTTGGACATGGAACTGAGGATATGAATTGCATGAGGTAGAGAATGGAAAAACCAAGGACCTACAGTGAGAAAGAAGGGAAAATGCTTGTTGGGAGGGCAAGGCCAAAACCTTTAAACAATTGTAAAAGTGTTAGAGATTGAGGTTTCAGCTGATTGCCAGCTAGAAATTTTGAGAATTCTCCAGCCAGGTTGGAAATACAGAATGCCAATTCAAGACATAAATTCAAAATATGATTAAACAGATTTTTTTCCTAGATTTTGTGGAAGATTTAGTTAAGCCCAATTCATACCAAAATACTTCTCTTCTATAAGTAAGGAACTTCCTCTCATTTTAACTAAATCTGAAACTTGAAGGTAGAACTAGGTTACTTGGTTCCCAGCCCTGGAGTCATTTGTGGGTTAAAAACTTTCAAGCATGCCCTCAGAAAGGCCATTCTGTTGGTGCTGATCCCAGGAATCCACATTCCTATAGGCAACCCAGAGATTCAGTTGTGTCCTAGTCAAGGAGGTCCCTGAAGATTACTTAAATTTAGACTCTTGCTAGAGTAGGAATACATTTCACATCACATAGCAAAGGTAAATAAGCAGGCTGGCCATGAAATTGTCCTATTTTCTAGATATCACCCAACTAGGAAACAACTAGAGGAGAAACCGGATCCATATAATTGGAATTTAGAAGAAATTAAAGTGGTCTCATAAAATAGAGAAATACCATCCCCCTACCCATTTTGTACATTCCCCTTGGAATTAGACTTTGACAAAGCCACACTGCACACAGGCCTGAACTACAGAACTTCAGGGGGCACTTTTCATACAGATAAAGATGTGAACACATGTTCATGTGAACACCAGAGTTGAGCAATGTGGCATTCCTGATTTTAATGGAACTTTAAAGACCAAATGCAAAGAATTCTATATCTTTAAAATAAGAACTCAGTGACATATAGCTAAAATAAGTAAACATGACCTATGACATAATTTGAAACAGAAAGTACGTATAAAATAGCCAGGATCATAAATAAACCACAACTAGTGATTAGCTATAAATTACATACTAAGAATAGTCTGGCTCATTTGTGGAAGAGAAAATAGATTTAAAACAGTTTTTTTTCTAAGCTACTTCCTAGAAAATGTGGAAGAAGTTAGAAAACTTGAGGAGTTTTGCTTCCATTCCTAAAAATGTTCTGACTTAATGAAGGGGAAAATATTATAATAAAAATGAATTGTCTGGTTAAATTAAACAGATACTTTGCTGGGTTGGGAGGCAGTGTAATATATTCAGAGTATTCAGAATCAAAAGACCTAAACTTGACTTCCATCACTACACTTAGTACCTGTGTGACTTTGGACGGTTGCTGAATATTTTTGAATCTTGCTTTTCTCACCAATAAAAATGGGGATAATATTGTCTCCTTCATAGGATTAATGTATGTAAAATACTTGACTAGGTGGGGTTGGGAAAGTCTATTGGTTTGTCTCTTCAGACTCCCTCAATACACAATAGCTATTTTTATTTTCTAACACTGGGCTGTGAGAGATAAAAATCCAGTTGAATGACAGTATGCAAAGGGAAGCTGAAGATCTTGGAGAATCATCGTGAAAGATCAATGCAACAATGGTGGTACTTGGTAATAGGGAGTTGGGCCTTACTGAAGGTGTAGTCGGCATTGTTGATTGCCGTCCTAGCATCCATTTCTCCTTTTCAGAGAGAAATGAAACAGATCTCAGATTCTTATCAAGGTGTCTATGCCTTTCTCGAACAATCAGGTGTTCTGAGGGAATCCCAGTGCCAACTCCGTTCCATGCCAATCCTGGGCCTTGATTACTCTAAGCCCATCAATGTAATTCCATCCCCTTCATCACCATGTCTTGCTCGGGAATAGTCATGGGACCCAGCGAAGACCAATGGGCATAAAGAAGGCTTTTCAGGGCATCTAAGAAAGAAGCTCTTAACTCTTCTGGGAGAGGCATGAGAGTTAGTACATTCTCTGTCTCTCTCACACTAAAGGTAAATGAGGAAGCATGCAATCCTAATGGCTGCTGCAGCCACCTCTGACCAGGAGAGGAGTTAGCCAAAAGATGACATCAATACTGTGGACATGTCAGAGTGAAGAGACAGAAAACACTTAGGTCCTTAATGACCTCACTGAGATGTCAGACCAAACACCACTGAGGCTTAGCCATTGGATGTCCTGGGTAATAAGCCAGTATATTCAATACCCCCAAAGCACAGGCAACCAAAGCAAAATTGGACAAATGGGATCACACCAAGCTAAAAAGCTTTTGCACAGCAAAGGAAAAAATCAACAAAGGGAAGAGACAACCCACATAATGGGAGAAAATATTTTCAAATTACCCGTCTGACAAGGGATTAATAACTAGAATATATAAGGACCTCCAACAACTCAATAGGAAAAAAATCAATATAT